TATGAGGTTCACTAGCCGCAAGTTGTTCTCTACCTCTATAAAAGATAACCTACTCCGTCTGGCCGCCTCCATTAGCATCTGTTAGTTCACTTTCTCTTGTGGAGCAACGTACATTGGCCGTAGTCAGAGGAAACTTTCCACATGGATACGAGAACATAATCCAGCTGCATGTTTTTACAAGGGAGAAAGAAAGTGTGTGCGAAGCTCTATTCTGGAACACCTGATTGACTTCTGTCACTCTGTCAACCTTGACCATGACTTTAAGATCATTTACCGAATCCATGCTAACTTGCCACGCTTTATTCGTAACGGACTTCTAAAGACAGCGGAGGCCTTGGCAGTTCTTTACTTTAAGCCAGACCTTTGTGTACAAAAGAGGTATGTACAATCCCTACTTCTGCCTTGGCCGTAGAGGGAGAGACATTTATTTATTTTGTTTATTTAGTTATTCTATGTACTTTTACTACGATTATTATTATCCTTATTGTTATTACTATTCCCACTCTTTTCCACTTGACCCACTTGACATTCTAAACCCAAAATTATTAATTTTATCTTTTATATTTTTACCATATTGAATTCTATCTTATCAAATTTCACACCATATTCTGTAACATTTTATATTCGTCTACTAATCTTATAATTATGTACTCCCTTCCAAAATCTATACACCTTATGTATTATTCTATATATGAGATTGATTGTTTTGTCACTTGAATTTAAACTATGGTTATAATCACAAATATTTTAATTGCATTTCATACTATTATTATTTGATGTATTCACACCTTTGACCTAATTCCCTCACCGGATATAACTTCTTAATAAAACCATATATATATATACGATTGTACAGTTTGATAATAAATTCGTTCAAAAGAGTCTCTTCGCTGAATATTGAGCTCTTAATTAAACAATTTAACGCATAAGCAATTCATACCGACATTAAATTTAGACAAAGCATTAAGAAAAGACGTCATTTGTCTGAATCGTGTACTGTGTATTTGCGCAACCCATTTCGAACAATCTGATCACACACGTACTTGGCATAGGAATATATTTATGCAATTTTCTATAGTTTGGTTTGTAAGGGTTAGTTATGTTTTTACGAGTTGATCACGGACTGATATCAGTTAGAGAACCATTGAAAACCAGGGAGTACTGGACAGCTGCTGTTTCATCCTAGTTTGGGACTTATCAGCAGTACGCACTCACTGGGATTCGAGCCCTGGATCTTCCGGTTACAAGGCAAGCTCGTAAACCATTCAGCCACTAGGACACAATTCAATGGCTAATGAATTCTAACTTCTATCAATTCGTGATTTAGCGCGATCCCAACCAGTGTCGTTGGTGGGACATCCATGCACACACGTGACATCTAATTGGAACTCAAAGAAATGAATAAAGAGCTAAGAGGTGAGAAAATAGACTTAGGTCTAGTTAAAAGGACATATTCAAAGTCAAACATATGATAGAGACAGGACATAAAATTGACGTTAACAGATCTTTTAAACCTATCTATAAAACGTGTTTGCGGCGTATCCTAAAGTTTGTGGAAGCCCTAGCTGGCAATTAGAAAGTTTAAACCACCTTTATGCGATCAAAGCAACAATTCGTCATCACACTAAACCAAATTCTTTGGTAAATTTTGTTTTGATAACATAGCAGATGTACTATTGCCTCTGCTATTTGGTTTAGTGGTCGTCATTGTTATTTTGACCTTGATTATGTACTTTCAACTCACCTCTTACCTCTTTATTAATTTCATATACATACAATCCTGTGACAAGTCCGTGTGTGATCAGATTTTTTCAAATGTGTTGTACGCGCAAATACACAATACACGATTCAGACAAATTACGTCTTCTTAATGATTTATCTAAATGCATAAAGGGAACTAATTGTTTTAAATAATAATGTTAACAATAGCATGAGTTCCGATAGATGATCTACAAAATCAGGAACAGGGTTGGCAGAACTACAGAAAAACATTTCCTACGAAATCAATGCAGTCATAAACTTCTTTAAGCCGGTAGTTATGCTGATCAAGAGGAAAGGTTCAGCGTGAGGCCAGCAAGTCTACTCCATAAAAAAATATCACTGGTACTGAAACTTCAAAGCTCTCTCTTGGAACTTTATGTTCCACTGAGAGTGCAAGGAAATAAAAAACACCAAAAGTCATTAGGAAAGGTTACAAAACAAAATATGCAGAATATAGGGAGTTAAGCTCATACAGTTGCATTCCAACGGCACAGACACGGGGTCTAATGTATTATGATGTAACTGAATAGCAGCATAAATAATAACACTCATGTTTAGTAAAACAAAGTAATTGACTCAAGTAGAAATGAATGATCAAGGCAGAGGGAGATAAAGACCTACTACAGGTTTTCTATGAATGCAGATCAAGTTTACCCATTTAATGACAACGATAATTAGAGCAAATACGCCGATTAAAGTTGCTTGTTTATGAACTCAAAATAATGCTATGTGGTAAGGACAGTAAATCAATCGATGAGATTGTGAAGGTGGGACATCTGTTGCACACTTCGATCCACCACCTTTCTCCGCGAAAAATATTAACTGACATTGCATGAGACTGGAAAAGAATTAGCAATGGTCTGAACAAATCATGTTATCAATCCACGAAGTCTTCGATAGTTCCTTTGAGACACATAGGCAGACGTAGACATACCAGGTTAAGGACTTAGGGATTTTAAGAATAACTGGCTGGAGACTATTGGTAATGCAGATCAAATTCGTTCTCTATGGCAGTGATGCATTCACTTTGTGTAATATCCTTTATCCACTAAACGCTCATGATTTTCCCTGAGAGTGTGGTGGTGTGATACAGACAATGGATGCCAACGGAATATTAGTCTCACAGTAGGAATCATTGATTTTGATTGGACACTAGTCAGTAACTGGTATAGTGTGTCTAGTCCTCTGTTTGGTGCAGATTGAATTCTACCGGTCAAATTTGCAATATGGCCACTTTGACAGGTGGCTCGCTATCACGGTGCACTGTGAATTGTTTATATGAGATGGGTGGGTAGTAAGTATTGGACCTAGGTTTCATGCCAGTTGGCACTCATTAGCAAAGCGTATCCGCAACCTCCAGTACAGTCTTACAGAAGGTCTATCTCGAACCAACCCAAACAGCTCAGTGACAACGTCTCCGACTCCAGTACTCACTGGGTGACGCGGGTTCAAATCTCAGACGGGGACATAGATTCCTTTAAGGTGGTTGCAGATACGCCGTACTGACTGATGAGTGCCAACTAGCACGAAACCTAGGTCGAAGGCTTCCTGCCTCCAACCATCTACTACCAAGAATCATTGTAATTCTTGGTGTTAACGTCTGAATACTATTCCCACAGTTTACTAGTGCTTCAACTACAGAATTCCATGTGTATATTTGAACATTCTATTTCCTATCGTTTATTGTAAACCAAAATCACAAACTCAGTGACTGCTGAAAGAATATAAACTGTATAGATATAAATAGCTGTTTGATAACTTGAAGAAAATATACCTTGGCTTCCGTGTCTTGCCTTGTGCTGTTAAAATAGTACTTTTAAATGCCAATTTCCATCTCTCCTCTGTCTACCTTTGTATGGTATATAGAGTGTGACACCTTTAACTTCTGTACTTCTATACAAAGTTCCATGCTGAAACTCAGTTAGTCAGTTATGCCACTTCAAGTTATCACCTGATTTCATATATGACATTGAGAGAGAACAGTGACTGTTCACTTATGAAGATTAGTTAGTCAACGAAGGAAATAGGCAATAATGACCGTGAAATCTCCATAATGTGGCAGTGACTACTAGTGACCTAGAAAGTGTCAATTCAGGAGTGAGTACTACTCATAGAGATGTCAATAATACAGTATGCAAAACACCCTCTAAAAGTCACTAGCAGTTGCTAAAATGCTGTTTTTGTGATATTCAACAAGGACACCTAGGTTAAGAACAGTTTCTTTTTTCATCCTGTCTAGGTACTCACCAGTTGAATGTATCTGTAGACTCCAGTGTCTGATGATGCTCCTACTGAGATTCGAACTCAGTACCCACCGTTTGAATTTATGTAAGTAGTAACCCCGCTTGAAGAATCAGGATGTTTCAAATAATCAAGAATTTCAGAAAAAAAACCATAATTCAATGTTTGTTGAAATGGCTTATTCCAACACGTTCGAACTAAGCTTGGCATGTGCAATGGTTGTATCTGTCAAACAGTAGACATCATCTGATTTCACTTTGACTAAACTATCTTAACATCGGGCGACAGTGCTAAACGATGATGTTGTAAGGATGGCAGGAAAACGTGTCTCGCACACCGAACCATCACTTTCCTCGACAAACAATCTTAGCTGACATAGAATTAGGCTGGAAAAGAGTTAACGAAGCGGGAGGGGGATGAGGGTCAAACCAAAACCTATCATCAGCCCCTGAAATCTCTGACAGGTGATATGACCCACCCATGTCGGTTGGAGTCCTCAGGATGCTAGGAACTAATTAGTGATATGGTTGCAAATCGTTCTCAACCAAAACATGGCTTCATCAGTCAATGAAATCCAAAACAGTTAGTTTAAGCTAATTATGGCTGGGGTCCCCGAGACGGTAGAAACCAATGGCTGGAGACAATCGGTGATATGGCTCAAACTTATCGTTCTCAACGGCCCGTGCAGATGCATCCACTCCTTGTGACTTAACGTTTCCAGTGAAACTATATTGTTCTTCGATATTACTATTCCTTTTGTCTCATATCCCTGTCTACTGTCTCTATTATGCATTTCTTCTACTTTCTTCTCTTGCTTTGTGTGCTACATGGAGTGTGGCGACTCGCACTGCTGCACATCGGTGCAAAGTTCTATGTTGAAACCAGTCAGTCAGTTCTCACTGGCGTTAATACATTCACAATCTTTACCGATCTCCTCCATATCCACAAAACCGTCATATATGCAGTCAGTTAGTCAGTCGGAATGAAAAGTCGAACACTTGAGTTGAATCAATGGTTTATTAACACAGGATAATGCATGTGAATCGCAGTTCATATAAAAAAGAAAGAACACATGATTGATTAGCCAAATGAGTGAGTGAGTAAGTAAGTTAGTGAATGGGAATAATATTACAATATTACAATAATAGCAATATTATTTAGTAAAAGAAAAAGAAAAATCCATTTTTTTAAACCACTTGAAATTATTGAATCATCAAAAGTTAAGTAATTGGTTGACTTTTTGGTGTAAAAAATAATGATACTACTGAAAAGTAATAATAGTAGTATATAAATATTTGTACAAAGATATCGCATCAAAAGAGAGAGAGAGAAATATTCAAAAAGAAAAAGGAATTTTAACAACAAAATAATTAAATAATAATTAAATTATAACAAGCACCACACCAAGGGCACAGAGAAACACACACACACGCGCAGAGACAATCAAACATGATCAAGTATGATGTCAGCGTGGTGATACAAAGAGTTTCGTAGTAGTAGGCGGAGAGGGTGTGGGTGGGTGGCTAAAGCACAAACACACTCACACAGACATACACACACAGAGGAACACCAACCGACAACAGCACCCTCTCCTCTGAAGAGCAACCGCTTTATTGCCTTTCCTGTTCGCGCCTCACCCAAAATACACAATGAAAGCAGATGATCACAAGCATTATTCCACAGAAAATAGAAACAGCAAACATGAAATCTAGAGAAATACCAGTAGTGACAAATTAATTAGTGAATGAGACGTGCTCAAAGTCACCATAATCGTGCGTGTGTGTCAATGGCGCGACAATAACAACACCAATAACAGTTACGTAATAATAATAGTGGTAAGTAAGTAACAGTGAGCACACACACATTATGAATGGGAATGAGAAGCTGAAAAAATACACAGTGTAGCGTATCCTCTCATACGCAATAATCACTCATCATAATTTACACACAATAAATTCAGTTGTGCTGGGACTCGGGGGGGGGGGGTTGAATGACACAGAGAGAAAGAGAGAATGTGGAAAAATATGAAGAGTTGATTATTCTCATTTGAGAACTGATCCAAAAGACAACAAGAAAAAAGATCAAGAGAAGATCAAATGGAATAAATTCATTGGATTTGTGCTTTTCTTGTTGGCCTTCATAATACTGCGTGTGTGTGTGTGTGGAGTAGGGACGAAGGGTGGGGGTATTGCGTTGTGTAGATAGGAATTGTCCCCCCCCCCAATCAATGTGTATCTGATCTGTTTGTCTGTGTAAGCGGCATATTTTTTTAGGATTGTGATCTAATTCTATTTATTTATTCATTGACAATAGGATTCGGTGACGGAACATTACGTTGATTGCCTGAAAAAATAAAATAAAGGAATACAAAAAGTTTAATATATATAACAAAGTCTAAATCTTCTATAGGTTGGTTTGTAAGGGTTTGTTATGTTTTTACGAGTTGATCACGGACTGATATCAGTTAGAGAACCATTGAAAACCAGTGAGGGAGTACTGGACAGCTGCTGTTTCATCCCACTAGTTTGGGAATCATCGGCAGTACGCACTCACTGGGATTCGAACCCAGGACCTTCCGGTTACAAGGCAAGCTGGCTCGTATACCATTCAGCCACTGGGACCCAATCCAATGGCCATTGTATGAATTCTAACTTCCACCGATTCGTGATTTAGCGCGAACCCAAGCTGGAGTTCTAGTGAGAAGTCGTGACCAGTGAGGTCCAATTAGATGTCACGTGTGTGGATGGATGTCCCACCAACGACAATGGTTGGGGTCACGCTAAATCATGAATTGGTGTAAGTTAGAATTCATACAATGGCCATTGAATCGGGTCCCAGTGGCTGAATGGTATACGAGCCAGCTTGCCTTGTAACCGGAAGGTCCTGGGTTCGAATCCCAGTGAGTGCGTACTGCCGATGATTCCCAAACTAGTGGGATGAAACAGCAGCTGTCCAGTACTCCCTCACTGGTTTTCAATGGTTCTCTAACTGATATCAGTCCGTGATCAACTCGTAAAAGTCTAAATCCCTTTAAATTCTATTTCATTTTCGTTCGCAGTGGAACACATATGGCTTCAAGCTAGAGCTTTGAAGTTGTTTCTGTAGGAGTTTGTTCTATTTCTACAGGATGGCAGCTAGCCCCACACATCTCCAACCTTCCCTGCTTACCGAGTTTACCTCCCATTCATAGAAGTGTAGGAGTACATCAGTCGGAGATCGAAGTCCCGGGATACATGTGTAGTCAAAGTTAAAAGAATATTCTAATAACTGTGAAGTCGTTTCGTGCATGAATCAATATAAAATACCAGGTTAATCATTAGAGAGAACACGAATGCATACTAGTGTTTATAAAAAGCCAACGCATTCTAATAGGTATTTAAACTTTAATTCATCTTATCCGTCGTTATCTGTTAAGGCAGCCTTAGTTAAATGCCTAACAAACTGAGCAGTAGCACTAAGTAGCACAAGAAAAGACCTAAATGATGAAATAAAACAGATAGAAGAGACGTTGGTGTTGAATAACTCACTATCCTATACAATTCATTACGAAGATCACTAAAGACCAAAAGCGAAATAAACATAATTGTGAAACTAGTAATGATAACATAAATAAGAGAGAATATAAGTCATCTACAGTCATACTATATAAGGAGGGGATATCTTAGACCCTCCCTATGTAGGATTCCCAATAAGGCAGGAATTAGAGTAGCATTTAAACCTACACACTCACTCAGGTTGGACAAGCTCTGTAGGCTAAAGGACCCAGTGGACCCAATTAAACAAAATAATATAATTTACAAAATACCCTGCAATGACTGCGAATGTTAAACTAGTAGATCGGGGGTTGTGAGATTATCAGAACATAAGAATTTGGCTAAGGTAGGAATGTTTGACCCCGAGAAGATAAGCAATTTAGAAAAAAGCTCAGCACTACATTGCACTACATGCAATAACACACAACCACACAATAGGATGGGAGAAAGTCAAAATTGTAAAGAGTAATATAGGTAGGTGGAGCGAAAGAGAGAGAGATTGATTACTGAATGTTGTTCATCGAGTCTACAACCAATACATGCAATAGGAATGACTCATCACTCATACCGGAAATATGGAAAATACTATTACCAATCAAATCGAGCGGTGGAAAACAATAATGGAATTATATAAACGAAGTTAGAAAGTTGTGTGAGTAGTGCCTTGATATGATTATGAGAAGTAATAAATTATGCTCGAAACGTGATCATAAGTAAACACTGTGAGACTTTATCAAAGTAAATTTTACCCATAATGGAATAATATCTTTTTTTCAAAATATGATACTATATATATACAATACTGTCCCAAGAGATTAAAGTTAACATTCCTGACATTTAGATATCTAGACATTAAAACACACTTTACAACTACTTCAACACATATTTAGCTCCTGTCATACACAATCCTCAGTCAAAAGGACAAGTGTAGAGATTCGTTGATATTTACTTTCAAGAAAGTTAAATACGATAGGTGAAAGGAGAAACTACACTATAAACTATTCAGCGATTCATTTCATGTTTCCGAAAATATGACAGTGTGACAACAGGAGAAACTTTTCCTCGAGGCCTCGAGGAATCATCAAACAGAGCCATTGAATCGTAGTCAATTATCTCTACCTCGATTTCATCGATTTTGAAAAAGGCCTTCGAAAGCGTCCACCATGAAGCAATATGAAAGCTGATTTTAATGTAGTTGTGTTCTCTGAGCCAGCTGGATGGTTTAATTGAGAAATTTTCATTTCCCTACTCACTAGGCAATATCTTCATCGCATACCTCGATTCGAAGTGAGCTTTTCGATTTCTCCATGAGTTTCTAAGTCATTTCTCCTGGTGGGGACCTTGATCACCGTGATTATGTCAATTGACATAAACAAAATTTTCCAATCGATAAGAAGGAAATCTCATATACAAAGGGTCGAACTTCAAGTCAAGGAAACAATCAGCAGCAAACACAAGTTACATAGAGAGTGTGAAAACACACAAAACAACCAATCACGATGATCAAGGTTATCCACCAGGAGAGATGACTTAGAAACTCATGGAGAAATCGATAAGCTCACTTCGAATTGAGGTATGCGATGAAGATGTTGCGTAGTGAGTAGGGCAATGAAAGCTTCGCAAATAAACCATCCAGCCTCTCAGAAGCAGGAGTTGAATGTAAGCTACAATACACTGAACAAAAGAGTAAAGATGAGTGCCAGGGAAGACAAAAGAAAATATTACGAAGCTATGGCAAGTGAAGCAGAACAAGCTACAGTGCAGGCAAAGGAAACCTCGTAACAATACCAAACAATTAGGTCCCTATCGGGGAGACGTTCAACACAAATTAAGCCAGTGAAGGATGACAATGGAAAGCCAATCATCAAAGAGGTGAGGCAAAGGAAACACTGGGCTGAACACTTCAAAATACCTCTGCATCGACCGCCAACTACAACGCGCAGAATAATACCAACAGCGGAAGCAGAACTACCAGTGGACATCAACCCACCGACGAGAACAGAAATCCTGAAGGCAATCAAGATGCTAAACACTGGAAAAGCAGCAAAACCAAACGGAATCCCAGCAGAAGCATTGAAAATGGATCCAGAGACAACAGCGGACTTGATGACACCACTACTGGAGAAAGTGTAGAAAGGGGGCAAAGTAACTGTGGATTGGAAGAAAGGCTACTTATTCAAACTGCCAAAGAAAGGAGACTTAAGTCAATGCAAGAACTGGCACGGAATTATGCTGCTGTCCATCCCAAGCAAAATACTAAGCCGCATCATCCTGGAGAGAATCAAACATGCCCTGGATGAAAAACGTCGACCGGAACAGGCTGGATTCAGGAGAAACAAATCATGTATTGATCAAATCGCCACACTACGGATCATCATTGAACAGAGCTTGGAATGGCAGTCACCTCTCTATCCCAACTTCATTGACTTTGAAAAGGCCTTCGACAGCGTCGATCGAGAGATGATTTGGCAACTACTTCGCTACTACGGGGTGCCGCCGGTAATTATACATCTCATCCAACAGTTGTACGACAATGCTGCATGCCAAGTAATCCACAACGGAAAACTTACGGAATGCTTCGAAGTGAAAACGGGAGTAAGACAAGCTGCCTGCCTATTATCTCCAGTGATTTTCCTGATTTCGGTAGACTGGATAATGCGATATACAGTGGGCAACGAGAAGACAAGCATAAAATGGACCCACACAAAAAACTTGGCGGACCTGGACCTCGCCGATAATATATGTCTGATTTACCACAAACTAGGAGGTATGCAAGTGAAAAGCAACAAGTTGACAGAATAAGCATCCAGAAAAGATAAGACTTTGTGTGAACATAGAGAAAACAGAGGTGATGAAGACTCCTGGCCAACAGCAACAACAACGGACAACAATCAGCATAAATGGGAGAAATCTGAAAGAAGCAACATCCTTCACCTACCTACCCGGAGAGCATCGTTTCAAATACAGGCGTACGGAACCGACGAGGATATCAAAGCAGCAAGGATCCAGAAAGCAAGGCAAGGTTTCTTTACTCTCAAGTCTGTGTGGAGAACAACAGCACTCAGAACTCAGCATGAAAAATATGATCCGGATTTTCAACTCCAATGTGAAGTCAGTCAGTGTTACTTTATGGATCAGAGACCTGGCACCAAGTCATGAAGAGCACCTCAAACAAACTACAGACCTTCATCAACAGCTAGCTGTCTTCGCTGAATACTTTGCTCAAGATCAGATGGCCGACCAGAAAAGATCAGCAACAGAGAGGGATCTCTGGCAATGAGCGAACCAACCAACCAGGAACCAACTGTGCAACAAATAAGCAGGGAGAAATGGAGGTGAATTGGTCATACTCTGAGAAAACAAACCATCAAGTGACATCACAAGAGAACTAAAAGAGGAGAGCTACAGAGGAAAAGATGAAATGAAGATTTGCAGTCACTGGAACCCTATGTTCCACTCAGAACCCAAAGGAGTAGTAGCAGTCAAAATAATAATAATAATAATGACAACATAACGTGGTGTATACACCCAGGAAGAAGAACCGATTTATTATTCCTTCTATTATTATATATATTTATATTAATAACAATTATTTGCCTGTAAAACTCACATGATACAATAGTGCAGAAAAAAAAAGACCTCAAACATATGCTCAAAAGTGCACGAGCACCTTCACACACATATAGTGCTCACATTAGATAACGTGATCACTCATTCTATACACCAGAGAGTGTAAGCGACACACATTAATTATCAATTATTATTATTATTATTATTATTATTATTAAAAAGGCTTGACTTGAGAGAGAGCGAATAAAATTAATTAATTACACGACACACTATTTCATTTTTAGCTAACAATTTACAATGAATGTGAATAGGTTGTGTGACGTATGAAGTAAGGATTGCTTAAATAGGTGGATTAACACATGCACTCACGCAATCACTCACTCATTCACTCACACGCATACGCAACTACTTGCTCACATGATTGTCTGTCTATAGGTGATAATACAATTCTAATTAATTGTACAAAGCACAACATATTAAATAAGTAACTATATACATAAGTATATAAATATATATATGAAATTTAAGTATCAGTTTTCAAGTATTGGTTTGTAGGGATTTGGTTGATTGGTTACAGGATTTCATCATGAGCTGACATCATCGGTTAGAGAACCATTGGAAAACCACCTGGGAGTACTGGACGACTGTTTCGTCAGCCTAGTTTTGGGACTCTTCATCAGTACGCACCCACACTACGGGGTTCGAACCCACGACCTTCTGGTTACAAAGCTAGCGAGCTCGTAGACCATTCATCAGCCACTGGGACCCGATCCAATGGCCAGCCCATGAATTCTAACTTCTGCCAATTCACGACATAGCGCGACCATTTCGCAATGTCTTCTTCCTCGATGAGTTACTGCCTCATCTTCAACATGCTGTACCCTACTGGTCACAGCTTCCCACTAGAACCCCAGGTAACTACCTACCTGAATAGGGCCAGTCACCAGCTCATGATGAAATCCTGTAACCAATCAACCAAATCCCTACAAACCAAAACTTGAATATCAATGAGATGCTCACTGGCGACTGGCTGGCTCTATTCAGGTAGGTAGTTACCTGGGGTTCTAGTGGGAAGTCGTGACCAGTAGGGTGCAGTAGGTCGGGTGTGAGGACAAATATATGAAATTTGTCGTGGACTGGATTATGCGTCAGATAGTGAGCAGGAAGCGAGGAGACAGGAATACGCTGCACTGACCACCGATTAGAGGACTCTAGAAGATCTGGATTTCGCACGAGGATGGTGTATGTTTAATGTCTCACAAACTCGAAGATTTGAAGGCAGGCGAAAACCAACAAACTGGCTGAAGAAGCAGTCGGTGAAGACAGGACTCCAGGTGAAAATAGAGAAGGTGGACGTAGGTGATGAAGAAAAACAACCAGCACCAATCACCATCAACGGGAGAGATTTGAAAGAGGTTACACCCTTCACTTATCTGGCTAGGAAGCACTGTTTCAACCACAGGCACACGGAACGGATGAAGATGTCAAAGCCAGCCAGCCAGCTAGAATCGGAAAGTCAAGATATGCCTGTGGTGAGAGATGGTTGCTAGCCAAAGTTGGTAGACAGTAATTGACGTCAATGTTTATGTCCCCAATATTGGTGGTGCGAAAATGAGAACAAAGGCTTAGCGTAGGCGGATACAGTTAGCATATGGATGATCTGACACAGCCACAAATAGATGCAAGGTTAACTTTCTGTGAGAAACAACCAATCAAAAGACTGTATTTTCTACTAACAATTATCTACAATAATGTACATCAAAATCTATAAATATGTGTTGATTTTCCTTAATAAACGATCTGTTGCCTGACTCTTGCCTTCTGTCGTTACATGCCTTCATCAACCCCAAAAACAGTTTGGAAATCTTCTGCACTCCGCCTCAGCACAAACAACAAGATTCGGATTTTATTCAACACAAATGTGAAGTCAGACAGTGAGTCAGAAACTTGCACTGCGCGTGAGTCGCGAAAATGACTTCCAACAAGTTACAAACTTTCATCAACAGCCGCTCGCTTCAGTGGATCCACAATAAAGATCAGATGGCCGGCCGGCCAGAAAGAATTAGCAACAAGAAACTCTGCATTGGAACAAACAGATCAACAAATATTTAGGAGAAAATGCAGATGGATGGGATATACGTTGAGGAGACTTTTGCATGCCATCGCTCGAACGGGAAGCGATGAGTAGGTCGTCGGTTTGATGGAGACAGGGGGGGATCGTATGTTGAGGAGGAGATGAGAGATTATGGGCAATCGTAGAGCTAACCAGCTAAAGAGGACAACAGAGAGTAGAACAAAGTGGAGATGCGTTGTTCAAGCCTTATGTTCCACTCGGAACCCAAGGGAATACTAATAATGTATAATATACGAGTTTGACCACGGATTCATATCAGTTAGAGAAGCATTCAAAACCAGCTAGGAGTACTGGACAGCTGTTTCATCCTAATCTGGGGATCATCGGCAGTGCGAACCCACACCACAGGGTTCAAACACAGGACCTTCCAGTTACAAGGCTAGCGAGCTCGCAGACCATTCACAGTCACTGGGACCCGATTCAATGTCCAGCCCATGAATTCTAACTTCTACCAATTCGTGATTTAGCGCGACCACCAACCAATGTCATCGGTGGGGCATCCATCCTCACACTGGTCATGACTTCTCACTAGAACTACGGGAAACTCTGTCCTGTAACAAGTCACTAGCGAAATTTGGCTTTATCCTTACACATTCTCAGAAAACTTACAGGAATTACAGTTGCTGTCTGCAAAATAGATAAATACCCATTAACAACTTTAGGCGTTTATCTCTTCATGAACCAACACAACAACTAGAGAGATTATTAAAAACCACCTGGGAGTATTGGACAGCTGTTTCATGGCCTAGGATTTGGAACTATTCATCAGTGCACACCCACTCGCCGGGGTGTGAAGCCAAGAACGTTTGGGCTACAAGGCTAGCTCGTAGATAATTCAACTAGCAGCCCATGAGCTCAAACTTCTACCAACTGATGGAATTCATGAGACATCGGATCGGTTCCCAGTGGCTGGATGGTCTACGAGCTCGCTAGCCTTGTACCCAAAAGGTCGTGGGATCGAACCCTAGCGGTGGGTGCGTACTGATGAAGAGTCCCAAATTGGGCTGACGAAACAGCTGTCCAGTACTCCCTTATGGTTTTCAGTGGTTTTCTAACTGACAACAACCCATGATCACATTTGGAACAAGTTAAATCTCTAAAAAGTGAATCATCAAAGCGAAATTATGAATTGAAAGAATTTCTGCAAGGTATTGAATTTGACGAATTTAAAGTTCTTGTTAGCCTCTTCTTGTGGCAGTAAATGATGGAGATTCGATTGCTTCAAAGTGAGATTCATCAACTGAATAAAGAAGAGGAAGATCCTTCTATGACTTTTGATAGTTGATGGCCTCAGTAAGTTAAAACTTGTGTAACCCGGAATGTAAAAATAAAATAAATAATGATAGTAGCGATAGTGATAATAACAATAGTAATGATAATAATAATAGTGATACCAATAACAATATTAATGACGACACCAACAATAAAGAATCTAAATCATCAGTAGTAATTCCATACAAGGAAGGAACCTCGGAAGCCTTACCCAGAATTCTTAACAAGGCAGGAATAAAAGTGGCTGGCATTCAAACCCACAAACTCAATTAGAAACAAGCTTTGTCGGTTAAAGGATCAATCCTGCGGGGCCTTTAAAACAAAACAATTTAGTTTATCTAATACCCTGCTGGAATGATTGTCAGGTCAAATACATAGGTCAAACTAGTAGAACAGGGGCAGTCAAACTAGCTGAACATAAAAACTGAGCAAAATCTAGATTGGTTGATCCAAATAAGATACGAAATCTAGAGAATAGTTCAGCTACAGCACTCACTACATGCAATTACACACAACCATACCATACATTAGGATGCGATGAGATAACAGTTTTAAAATCTAATGTAACAGTTGGGTGGAGGGAGAGATTGATAACGGGACCTTTATTCATCGAAGTAACCGCAAACGCGTGTAATAGGAATGATTCCACACCTGTCCACGCAGATATCTGGAAAATTCTACTACCCCAACGACGACAAATAGGAGAAAACAAAGAAGACTATAAAACTCAAGTTTCGAAGTCGTGTGATCACAATTGATATGATTATGTACAATAAATGTTGTGTCGAAACATCATCCAGTAAATACTAATACTGTTTCACTGTGTGATATTTCTAATAAACGAACTAATATGGAATTATTTACTACCACAGTGCCCAAGTTTTACACATATATTAATAACCCGGCACAAGGTTTTTCTTCAAATATCAGACTACTAGCCAACAATTCTAGTGTAAAGGCTGGTGATTCTATCCAGTTGCCCAGGCTAAATTAGGCGAAGAGGGATTCGAACCTGAGAACACATTGGCTTAAAGTCGAGTCTTATATCCCACTGTATTTATAATATCATGTATCGATGTAATAACAATTTACAACCTAAAACCAATCCACTTTACGCTTGTTTGTTTATCCAATACATACTCTTCAAGTCTGATCAGGCATTGATGTCAGTTAGAAAATCATTGAAAAAACATCAGAGAGTACTGAACAACTATCTCGTCCCATGTTTGGAACTCTTCAACAGTACGCACCCACAACCCCACCGAAGACTAGCTACTACAGGACGAGGTTACCCCCGAGTTCAAGTGAGAAGTCGTGACCAGCCGGATCTATATTTATTGGTGGCCACGCTAAACTTTGTAAATTGATAGAGGTTAGAGCTTATGGGTCAAGTGGCTGAATGGTCAATGAGCTTGACCTTTTGACCTGAAGGTCCTGAGTTCCACCAACCCGTGTGTGAGTAGGCGCTCATGGATGCGTACTCGTGCAGAGTCCCGAACTAAGACGAAACAGCTGTCTCTAGTGGTTTTTACTGTGGTTCGCTAGCTGACATCAATCCATCGTCAAACTCGAAACAATGAACGGAAAGTATACGAGAAAAAAAAGTGAAAATCACGAAAGAGAATAAAAAAACTAAACTACCTTCATCTTTAATACCACCGGCAACAACTGATGCAAATGTATTCACTTTATTGCTGCCAGCAGTTGCTGTAACATTCATCCCGGGGAGATTAATATTCGCGGCAGCAGATGCTGGCAAAGCATAGACACCAGGTTGTTGAGGTCCACCAGTACGCATAGAGGAGTTGACATTTTTCGATCCAATACCATCTCCTGCACTGACCGAAGATGATGGAGTAATATTTGATGCAGGCAGAGAACTGGAATCATACGGTGAATTAGGATTCATTGCTACTGATGACAGACTAGTCGCTGGTTGGTTATTCGATGGATGAGGTGTAAGCAGTCTGAAATGCAAGAAAGAGAAGAAGAAGAGAGTGTGTCACAGAAATACAAAAATAAAGGCTCGAGCTTAGAAGGTTAAGAAGTAGTAGTAGTGTTGCCGGCCTCAAGTCCAACCTTCCGCCTTATACCGGACTTATTATAGGCTGAGGGAGATTTAGGAGTGCCTCGGCCGGAAGTCGAACCCCAACATCCCAATTGTGGCGTAACTGGAGAGCAATCTACCACTGAATAACCGACACATAAAACTGTGGTGAGAGCTGTCTGCTAGCCAAAATTGGTAGACAGTAATTTACGTCAATGTTTACTAACTCAACAACCAATCAGAGCAGACTTTGTTTGCGTAGGCGGATACGATTAGCAGATATATATATGGTCTGACCTTCAAAGAAACGGCCACAAAGAGGATGACAGAATAACTTTCAACGAGAAAACAACCAATCAGAAGACGCTGCTGTTTCTCTGCTAATAATAACGGATATTATAATGTACATAAAAATCTATAAATACCTCTTGATTTTCTCAATAAACGATATGTTGCCTGGCCCTTGTCTTCTGTCGTTACAAAATGACTCTTGTATTGAAGGTGACAATTTATTAGTTGTAATAACAGTCACAATCATCTAACGATTAACAGAACAGATATGATACGGCATTCCTCAACTTTTGTATCACCTTTTGTTGCCGGAAAGACAAATCTGACTACCGACATTAGATAACTGAAGGTAGTCGGCAAGATGAATTGACTGCATATAAGTTTCGCACTTGTTGGCAGCACTCACCAGTCGGTCAGTTAGGTGTATCTGCAGAGACTCATCTCCCCTCTGAGATGTGACATTGCACCATCTAGTGAAGAAGTCGGAGAAGTTACACCTGTGGGAGCTATTCCGGCTAAAGATTCACCTCCTCCTGTGGATACTAGGTGGTAGATGTCAATTTTCCGCTCCTTCGTTTGATGCAGACGCAACTCTATCAGTCTAGGATAAGGGATCTACGGAGATCTGTTTAACATCTGGGTTACCGCACTATTATAACTGCATATAATATCTCTTGTTCACTTTGCCTCAATCCATTGAAAATATGACTTCTAATGGTGTTTTCTGCTGATACATTAGATGGTTGGAGGCAATCGGAAAGAAGCCCCCACTGACCTAGGTTTCGTACTAGTTGTCACTCACCAGACAGTAAAGCGTATCTGTAACCACCTTGAAGGAATTCATGTCCCTCCCCAGTCTGAGATTCGAACCCGCGTCACCCAGTGAGTACTGCAGTCAGAGACGTTACCACTGAGCTATTCGGGTTGGCTCGCGATTGACCTCCTGTAGGAGAGATGGTATTGTATACTTTTGATTGGACACTAGTTAGTAAATGGTGTAATGTGCGTGTCTAGTCCTCTGTTTGGTGCAGACTGATACGCCTTACTGACGAGTGTCAACTAGCTCGAAACCAAGGTCGAGCAAGGCTTCCTCTGATTGCTTCCAACCACCTAAAATCAACAATTCACAGTGCACCGTGGTGTTGGCGAGCCACCTTGTATTATAGTGGGATCACTGCAAACTTGACTGATAGAATTCAGTCTGCACCAAACAGAGGAAATAGCATAAGAGAGACTGGTTACCGCTCCATATCGAGCGGCAGCGTGTCATCCGACTGACTGTCACAGTTACTATTTTACTTGAAGATCAAGGGGACAAAGAGAAACTATTAGGCAATAATTCCTGCTGGAAATTCTGTACATTATATAAACACTATTTCAACAGAAATAAAGCTATTATTACAGACAGTGAATACATCTGGGACACTGACAACAATTTTGAGTGACATCACTAACAATCTCATTTCATTGGTTCCCAGCATATTGAGGACTTAATCCTGACAATCTACATGACCTAAGATGGCTCAAATGAACAGTCAAAGTGTGGTGAGAGCTGTCTGCTAGCCAAAATTGGTAGACAGCAATTGACGTCAATGTTTACGTCCCAAATCTTGGTCATGAGAAAAAAAGAACAAGAACAAAGACTAACTCAACAACCAATCACAGCAGACTTTGCGTGGGCGGACATGATTAGCAGATATATATATATGGTCTGACCTTCAAAGAAATGGCCACTATGAGATGACAGAATAACTTCCAGTGAGAAAACAACCAATCAGAAGACGTTACCTCTGTGCTAACAATAACGAATAATAATGTACATGAAATTCTATAAATACCTGTTGATTTTCTCAATAAACGATCTATTGTCTGGCCCTTGTCTTTTGCTGTTACAAAAAGGAGTCATGGATTGATCACCACCACCCGTAACTCTTTTCCAACCTCATCCTATGCAAGCAAACATAAATGTGACAAGAAATAGGGTGGTTAGGAGGCATGAGTCATCTCAATCAATTTACTTCCCGAACCCTTCTCACCTAACACTCTACACATCTAACTTCAAAATTACTCACTATACTATACCACTTAGCACGAGGAGCAGGACGCAAGTATCATTGGTCTAAGACAGTTAGTTAATCAGCCTTTTCATATCTTCCACTCTCAATGGTCATGTCTCACAGTCACAAAGGAGGACAAAGTGAACTGCTGTGCGCAGTACATCGATAGCCAGTCGGATATCACGTGTAATCGACAAGAGACGAAAACATAGCCAAGTTGTACACGAGCTTTATGTAGCCATGGTGAGATTTTGTCGGCAGTCAGGTCTGGAACACATCAAAACAAAACCATCGGATCTACATTATTTCATGATTGAGCTACACAAAGCAAAATATGATGTGTATTTTGTGTGTGTGTGCGAATTATGCACAGTTCGACGTGAAAGCTTTTTGATTTATTTATGTTCCCTCTGAGTTGATTGATTTAATCCCCAGGCTTTCGTTGTCCTTCTTTCTAAACAACATCTTCCTTCAGCGCAGGTTTTACTATGTAAACGAACTTATTTGAATTCGCCATTACTGATGATATAATTGTATCTCCCTACTGACAACCTCATTTGTCGTGATTGGTTGTTAGTCTAACTCTCTCTCTCTCTCTCTTGATCATTTTTATTGACTTGAAATTTGAATGCTTCTTGTCATGATGTGATTTACTTTTCATTAGTTGGTAAATTCGACCTGTAGTGTAGTATGTTTTTTAATCGCTAGCTGATTCATTTGAGTACCAGGCTTCTAGAAATTCCCTGGTATCAATTTTCATGTTTCCTCTATTTAGGATTTCTAGATTATCCCAATCAAATTCATGCCCATGATTATCTACATGCATCGATATAAAAGAATATGTAACAGGTGTCTTTTCACAGCTAATTTATGTTCTTGGATTCGGACATTTGAAGAGGGCGCCTGGTACTCAAATGAATCAGCCAGCGATTAACAAACACATTAGCATAGACTAAATATACCGACTAATAAGAAATAATTTTCTATAGTTTGGTTTGTAAGGATTAGTTATGTTTTACGAGTTGATCACGGACTGATATCAGTTAGAGAACCATTGAAAACCAGGGAGTACTGGACAGCCAACTGTTTCATCCTCGTTTGGGAATCAACGGCAGTACGCACCCACTGATGCTCGCTAGTGACTTGCTACAGGATGGAGCTTCCTGGAGTTCTAGTGACAAGTCGTGACCACCAGTGAGGTCCAATTAGATGTCAAGTGTGAGAATGGATGCCCCACCTATGACATTGGTTGGTGGTCACGCTAAATATCATGAATTGTTAGAAGTTAAAATTCATGGGTTGGACATTGAATCGGGTCCCAGTGACTGAATGGTATACGAGCTCGCTAGCCCTGTAACCGGAAGGTCCTGGGTTCGAATCCCAGTGGGTGCGTACTGCCGATGATTCCCGAACTAGGATGAAACAGCAAATGTTCAGTACTCCCTCGTCTTCAATCGTTCTCTAACTGATATCAGTCGGTGATCAACTCGTAAAAAATAAAAAATAAATCAAGTATTGCTTTTTAGGAGTTTGATTGACTGGTTACGGGATTTCATTATGAGATGACATCATCGATTAGAGAACCATTGGAAAACCAGTCAGGGAGTACTGGACAGTTATTTCTTCCTAGTTTAGGGCTCACTAGCAACTGACCCTATTCAGGTAGGTAGTTACCTGGGGTTCTAGTGGTAATTCGTGACCAGTGGGTACAGCACGTCGGGTGTGACGACAAACACTCGCCAGGTATGGCATTGGCTAGTGTTCGTGCTACCTGACCATTGAGAGTGGAAAACATGAAAAGCCTTGCTGGCTAGTTGTCTTTGATCATAGATGCCTGCGTCATATCTCCTGTGTTAAGTGGTATAATAGGGTGAGCAACACTGAGGTTAGGCATCGGTCGACTGCTAAGCAAAGAGAGGAAATCAATAGACGAGGCTGTGAAGTTACATCTATTGAGATAGTTAGGACAGGTGTTACGCATGCCTAGCCATCGCCTTCCTCGACCGATGGGCGATGTTAGCTGACTTAGGATGGATCAGGCTGGAAAAGAGCCAGCGGCAGTCAAATCAAAACATGGCTTCGTCAGTCAGTGAAATCCACAACATTTAGCTTAAGCCAGCCAAGTAAGAAGGTGTAAACTTCCTGGTTGGGGTCCACGGGATGGTAAACAACAATGGAGGCTGGAGACAATTGGTTATACGGCTAAAAATCATCGTTCTCAATGGCTGGTGCAGATGCATCCACTCCTTATGACTCTTTGCCTCATATCTCTGTTTACTGTCTCTATTTTTCACTTCTCTTTCTTTGTGTGCTAAGTGAAGTCTGGTGACTCGAGCTGCTGCACGCAAGTGCAAAGTTCTATGTTGAAACCAGACAGACAGACAATGGTCGTGTTACGTCGTGAATTAGCACAAGTTTGATTTCATGAACTGGCCAATTGGATCGGGCGCCAGTGGCTGGCTGAATGGTTTACAAGCTCGCTAGCCTTGTAACCCAAAGGTCCAGGGTTCGAGCCCCATAGTGTGAGTGCGTACTGATGAAGATTCCCAAAACCCGCCTGACGACGAGCCAGCTGTCCCGCAGTACTCCCTGGCAGCTTCGATGTCAGCTCATGATGAAATCATGTAACCAAAAATTAAACCAACCACATGACAAGGAAGCTCAAATTTCAAGTTAATAAAAAAGGGTCAATGTAAATTGACAAACAATCAATAATCACAGGAGATACAATTATATCATCATTCATGGAGAATTCAAATATATCCAGGTTATATTCAAGGCTGAGCTGAATATGTCGTCTTAGTCTTAATAAGTATATGTACCGCCGAAGCGAGTATGACATGCGATTCGCCCCTGTAAAATGTAAGATGCTGCTACAGGACTGGACTACGTCAACTCCTAGCTTAGTGATAGGGAGTGAAGTGATAGAACATGTTGACCACTTCACCTATTTGGGAAGTTGTATCAGCACCAACGGATTGATTGGTGACGAAATCTCAGCACGGATCCAAAAAGCTCGGGCTGCTTTCGCTAACTTACACCGTCTCTGGCGTAGGTGTGACATCCGGCTGTCAACCAAGGGACGTGTATACTGCTCAGCAGTTCGCTCCGTCCTTCTCTATGGCTCTGAAACATGGCCAATACGAGTTGAAGACATGAAAAGGTTGACTGTTTTTGATCATAGATGTCTACGATCTCTTTCTCACGTTAGGCGGCATAATAAGGTAAGTAATGTTGACGTTAGGCGTAGAGTGTTGGGCAAAGAGGGAAAATAACTCGAAGAGGCTATGAAGTTACATAGATTGAGATGGTTAGGTCACGTGCTGCGCACGCCTAACAATCGCCTCCACCACCCAGACGGGCATTACTAGCTGATATAGGTGTTGTGGGTTGGAAAAGAGTAAGTGGTGGCCAAACAAAAACATAGCCTCATCAATCCATGAAATCCTTGACAGTTAAACTGAGTCAGGTAGGGAGATGCAGACTTCCGGGTTGGGGCCCTCGGGACTCTAAGAATCAATGGCTGGAGACAATAGGTGACATGGCTCAAAATCGTTGTCAATGGCTTACGCAGATGTATTCAGTCTTTGTAATCTTTCATATTCCTTTCTACCATTACTCATTCTGTTTCACTCTTATACTTGTCAAAACTCTATTGATTCTCTTCACTCATTTTCTTGTATACCTTTGTGTGCTATTTGGAACGTGGCAACTCGAACTGCTACACTTTGGTGCCAAGTTCTATTTTGAATCCAGCCAGTCTTAATAAACAACGAAAGGTTCGCAATTAAATCAACCAGCTCTTCAAGGAACACAATTAAATCAAAATCATCCACCTCAGCTATAAATCTTCTCCATTATTTCCATTACTACTCTCAAGTCTGTGTGGAGGTCAACAGCACTCAGCATCAATAAATAAGATCCGGATTTTCAACTTCAATGTGAATTCAATCAGTGCTACCTGCTATACGGATCAGACACTTGGCCAGAGCGTCATAAAGAGCATTTCAAACAAACTACAGACCTTCATCAACAGCTATCTTCGCTCAATACTCAAGTTTAGATGGCTGGCCAGAAAAGATCTGCAACAGAGATCTCTGGGAGCAAACCAAGCATGAACCGATTGTGAAACAAGTAGGCAGGAAGAAATGGAGGTGGATTGGCTAACCATACTCTGAGGAAACCATCAAGTGAGTGACATCACTAGACAAGCCGTTGCTCGAGTGTAACCCGAAAGGGAAGCGGCGGCGAGTTGGTCGTCAGTGCAAGGGTGACTTGGAGGAGGTCATGTGAAGAGGAGATGAAAGCATGTGGGCAGACATGGAGCCAGGTGAAGACTCTATCAGAGAACCGAACGCAACAGAGACGCACGGCTGAAGCCCTATGTTCCTCTAGGAATTAAAGGATACAATAATAATTATTATTTCAATAATACTCTTTATCATTAAATATATAAATTACCTTTGTGTTCTGATTAGCACAGCCTCACCGCCATTGATAGGATCAATAGAGAATATATGAACAAGACCATCTAAACCAGCGACAATTAGCCTCGGTTGATTTTGATAACTAGTAAATAATTTTAAAATGAGCAAAATAAACGACAATTGAATAAATATTGAAACATTTAACAAAAACATTTAAACAAAATAATAATAATTTTAAGTGGAAAACAGAGAGAGACAGAGGAAGAGATAGAACATGAGCACAAGGTCTCATGTTTCTAGTGTTTATTTACATAAAAATCAAAAAATTTTTAAACAAACCAGCGAGCAAAATAATCAAAAATGCATTTCATTGAGAGCTGAAATCGGTTAGAGAACCATTTGAAAGCTACCTGGGAGTACTGAACAGCTATTTCGCCCTAGTTTGGGATTCTTCAGTAGTACGCATCCACACCACGGGGTTCGAACCCAGGACCTTCTGGTTACAAGGCTAGTGAGCTTGTAGACCATTAAGCCATTAGAACCCGATTCAATGGACCATGAACTCCAACTTCTGATGAAGAGCTCCAAAAAACTAGGCCGACGAAACTGCTGCTGTCCTGTATACTCCCATGTCAGCTCATGATGAAATCCTGTAACCTATCAATCAAATCCGTACGGACTAATACTTGAATAAATTGTATCATGGCGCGCTGTTTAAATTTATTGACTGACGCCAAATCATGCTGTTGTCCACGCCAAGTAAAAAATGAAGTTGTGTCATCCTGAAGAGACGAAAAGATACCTGGAACAAGTTGGATTGACTAAAGTAAATTGTGACCCTGCACATCTTCATTAATATTAAGAAAAGGGGTATCGAATGACAGACAGTCATATGACTACCTGAACTTCATCGACAGTGAAAAAGCTTTTGACAGCGTTGACCATGAAGTAATTTGGAAACTGCTTCAAGACTACATAGTGCCTCAAATCTTTATTAACCTAATAATAAAGGTTTTTGTATTTCCCAGTGAATGAAAAACAAAACGATATCGTTTTTCACTGACGTTTGGTCTTCTATATGGACAATTCCTAAAGATTCTCTATCTAATTGTGTCTATAAAATAAAATGCTTGGAATGTGTGGTGCGATTTACGTCGGACAAACATCTCGAGAAATCAAAATAAGAAGAAAGGAACACTGTAGAGCAATCTGTTCGATCACTGAGAAATCCAGTTGAACTAGAAAAGCTTGAAAAATCATCAGCCATAGGTCTACATGCTATAGAATCAAGCCACAAAATTGATTTTGACAATATTGAAATAATCTAGAAAAACTTCAGAAATCACAAACAACGTCTAATATCAGAAACACTTCATATCAAGTGGAATCCAAATTGCCTGAATAGGAATGATGGGCTTAAACATAATCTGACCTGGTTACATCAACCCCCTCCCCCATGAAGTGACAAAATCAACACTAATGTGATAAACAAGTTCACTATGTAAACACATACTGCTTTTGTAATTTTGCACACTGATCAAATCCAACAATCTACACGTGATGGTTTTGTTATCTTTACCAATTGGCCAACTTGACAACAAAAAATGCCCCCAGATAGGCGAACGATGATCAAGTTAGAAAACTTACTTTTGATATCATAACAGATGCACTATTAACTTTGTTATTTGATTTAGTGATCTTCATTGTTATTTTGACTTTCAATATGTCCTTTTAACTTGACCTAAGTAGTCTATTTTCTCACCTCTTAACAACTTGTATATATATATGCTGAGATTTTGTGAATTCCGGTTTAATAATACGTAGATAAAGCTATTAGCAGCACTATTAAATAGCGAGACGTCAGTAAAAACAATATCGTTTTGTTTTTTCATTCATTGGGAAATACAAAAACCTTTATTATAATGAATATCATATAGCCAAAGCCCCAATTTTTTCAAACCGTTAAAAGTGAACTTGGTTTGGACATATATATCTTTATTAACCTTATTCAAAAGCTATATGATAAGTAAACATGTCAATTGATGCACAGCCGAAAGCTCAGAGGAGCCTGTGAAGGGAAGGACACGAGTAAGTAAGACAAGGCTGTCTTTTGTTAGCGATAACATTCTTATTAGTGGTGGCCTGGAGGATTTTGCGACAGACAGTGCGCGTACGTTGGATTGACAAGAAGATATTGTAGGATCTGGGCTTCACGAATGATTTATGTCTGATGTCGCACAGAAGAAGCAGCACAGAGACGGGAATTCAAGTGAACATAGAGAAGGCAGAGAGGTAATAAAGATACTCAACCACCATCAACGCCAACAAGCAATAATCACCATCAATGGGAGGAATTTAAGGGGGGAGGGTCATTTCTTTCACTTATCTCTATACAGCATCGTTTTAACTCCAGCTGTCACGGTTGAGGTTGTCTAAGCCAGTTTTGACTAGAAAAGTAGGACACATCGAATTGAAATCAGTGTGCGAATCTGCTGCACTCAGTACAGAAGGGTTAATATCTAGATCTTCAAGACTACTTACTGTCAAGTCAATCACCGCTTTTATATGGTTCAGAGACTCGGGGTACGCGTCACTAAGTGCGTTTCCAACAAGCTACAAACCTTTATCACTACAGACACCTTTGATCCATACTGAAGATGACCAAAGAGGATAAACAGAATGAAACTCTCTGACAGCGAACCAAACAAAAACCTATCACCACCCAACAAATATGAAGAAGGATATGGAAATAGATTGAACATACACACGCTAAGGCCTTCAAGTGAACATAAAGAAAACAGAGGTGATGATGAAGATTCCTGGCCAACAGTAACAGCAATAACAATAGACAACAATCAGTCAGCAAAAATGGGAGAAATCTGAAAAAGAAGCAACCTCCTTCACCCACCTGCCTACCTACCTACCTGGGAAGCATCGTTTCAACTACAGGCGGAACTAACGAGGATATCAAAGCAAGGATCGGGAAAGCAAAACAAGCTTTCATTACTCTCAATTCTGTGTGGAGGTCAACAGCACTCAGTATGAAACATAAGATCCAGGTTTTATACTCCAGTGTGAAGCCAGTGCTACTCACTATACGGATCAGAGACTTGGCGCCAAGTCACGAAGAGCACCCCAGACAAACTACAGACCTTCATCAACAGCTGTCTTCGTTCAATACCACTGAAAATCAGATGGCCGGCCAGAAAAGATCACCAACAGGGATCTCTTGGAACGACGAACCAACCCAGCGAAAACCGACTGTGCAACAAATCTGCAAGAAGAAATGGAGGTGGATTTGCCATACTCTGAAAAAACAAACCATCAAGTGACATCAAAGAACAGGCCCTCCAGTTGAATCCGGAGGGGAAGTGGCGAGTTGGTCATCGGTGCGAGGGCGACATAGAGGAGGAGGTCATGAGAGGAGAGGATATGAAAGCATGTGAGCAGACGTGGAGTCAGGTGAAGACGTTGGCAGAGAACCAAATGCAATGGGGACGTGAGGCTGAAGCCCTATATTCGCCTAAGAACTAAAGGAAACAATAATAATGATAATAATATAATAACACGCGCTAAGGTAAGGTCAAATAGTAAGAAGGTTGAGAAACTCTTGTAATTCGCGATAGACATACAGACATCATGAAAGCCCACTAATCAATATGTCCTGACCTTGACCTTCGTGATTATCATGGGAATTTTGGTTACCTAAATGTAAATACTCCCACCAATTGATGTTGACCTTGTATGAGTGTCATATTCTATCTTCTTATTTGTAAGTAAATGTAATTCAATGACCACTTTTCTCTACACACCAATACTGTTCGGTACATGCTTGTCCTTCTTGGTTGAATGACGACTGCCTCTGTATTGTTACCTTTGTATGACTGTATTATTTCCTTTATTACATTTCAGAAACACGGCAAAGATCATGTCACCTAGTCACCTTGTGTTTTAACTATTGCGAAGCTTAGACTCTGCATTTGTCAATATTCAGATTGAGTATATCCTGGAATCCAAAGAGTAATTCAGTTCATGCGCTTTACATGCGCAGTTGAAGAGTCCCAAACCAGGGCGAAACAATTGTCACTCCTCTCCAGGTCTCCAGTGGGTTTTTTAACTGCCGATTTAGGTTCATGACCTAACTCGAATTCAGTGTGTGTGTGTGTCAGTCCATCCTAAACAAGTTCATCTGTCAGCTGACTAATCATGCCAGTAAATTTGGTGATTTTTAGAATTAGGTGGAGGTAACCAGAATCTATAATATAATACGCATATAAACACATTAATAGTGAATATTAAAGAAGGAGGAACGGACGAGGATGTGAAATCGAGAATCGGGAAGCCCAGAAACACATTCATTCATTCACATACAAACGTCAAGTCACTTCTTCTATATGGATCAGAAACTTGGCAGGTCACAAAGAATATTTCCAACAGGTTGGAGACCTTCATCAACAACTGTTTTCGCTCCATACTGAAGATTAGATGGCCGGAAAGAATCAATAACAAGAAACTATGGGAACAAACGAAACAAGAAACAATTGCCCAACAAATATGAAGGAGAAAGTGGAAATGGATTGGACACTCGCTGAGGAGACCGTTGGGTGACATCGCGCATCAGGCCATTGCTCGAGTGGAACCCGAAAGAGAAGCGGCGAGTAGTGGGACGTCCAAGGGTGACATGGAGGAGATCGTGTGAAGAGGAGTTGAAACAGTATGGATTAACATGGATGCAAGTGAAAAATACAGCAGAAGACAGAAGCAAGTGGAGGCGTGCAGTTGAAGCCCTATGTTCCACTAGGAACCCAAGGGAACAATAATAATAATAAAGGAACTTACTAAACGAGTGCAGCTACCTTCCGCTGTCCAGGAGACGGTTGAATAAGACCAGTAGATGTAGGACTGACAACATAATTAGTATTGACCATTTCCCCTGCTGACGTCATCGACACTGGACTACCACCCCCAGCACCGGCACCACCTACTGCTCCTGTTGTCGGTCGATACGAACTATTCCCTGATGCACATGGTATACGTGCATAAGCGAATGCACGATCCTGTGCAAATATCTCTGATACTTGATGCGGTAAGTAAACAGAATACGTTTTCAGTGTACTACCCATCCAACCCATTAAACCTTGACTCCAACTAGCCATTGTAGCTGCTGCTCCACCAGCACCGCCTGCTGTACCACCGCTACCACCATCTAAACCTGAGGTGTTATGATGCTCTATACAACCGGAATAATTCCCTGTGATATTATCATCAGATTGGGGTAGATCACAGTCATCGACACCACCACCTCCACATCCTGTGCCTTGACTAGCTCCTGAACCTGTAGAGATTGTACGTTGTCTTGTGTAATGATCAGTGGATATATCAGGGGATTTTTCAGACCTACAAAATGAAGGAGAATTAAGAATAACGACAAATGAAACTTATTAAATTATTATTGGAATGCATACATGATAAACATTATATGGGCGATTTAGAGATGTGCCATACAAATTTTCATAGTTTGTGAGAACTCCAGGATACTGTCTGGATGCCCAGACCGAAGCAGGTGGTGGTTGTTTCAAGGGGTCACCACCATCTGAGTCTTTGATTTGAAGACTCACCCACAAGGCCCGACCGATAGCTGCTACCTTGAAGTGGTGGTCAGGCTTGCATACCACAATGACCCAACAAGCTACAACTGGCCATTGAGAGCAGAAGACATGAAAAGATTAGGTGTCTTCGATCATAAGTGTCTGCGTTCTATCTCCCGCGTGAAGTGGTATAATAAGGTCAGCAATATTCAGGTTAGGCGTCGAGTGCTAGGTAAGGAGGGGAAATCAGTCGACGAGACTGTGAAATTACATCGACTGAGATGGTTAGGACATGTGCTACGTATGCCTAGTCATCGCCTTCCTCGACAATGGGCAATGTTAGCTGATATAGGGCCAGGCTGGAAAAGAGCTAGCGGCGGTCCTACGAAAACATGGCACCAGTCAATGAAATCCACAACAGTTAGTCTCAGCCACGTAGGAAGATATAGACTTCCTGGTTGGGGTACTCGGGACAGTAAAAACCAATGGTTGGAAACAATTGGTGACATGGCTCAAAATCGTTCTCAGTGGAGCAGATGCATCCACTCCTTGTGACTTACGATTTCCAATGAAACTGATTTGTTCTCCGTTATTACTATTCCTTTGTCTCACCTCTGTTTACTGACTATATTATGCATTTCTTCTACTTTTTTCTCTTGCTTTGTGTGCTACATGGAGTGTGGCGACTTGAACTGCCGGACATATGTGCAAAGTTCTATGTTGAAAACCGACCGACCGACCGACCAACAAGCTACACTGTCTGAAACTATTGTTCCTGCAGGCCCTACCATGCCAGGAAGGTTGTTAGGATAGAGACTAGACTAATAGCAGGTACTGGTATAGTGTAGGAATTTTTTCTTTTTACAATATGCTGGGAGTCTTTGGGCGAAGTCGTACTACTGAGGAACAGGGATGTAACAGCAGTAAGGTGTTTCCCTCAGATGACCAGCATGCCAGCCAACTGTGCTGTCTCTCCACTCTGGAAACAGGGGGTTAAAAAAGGTCGACCTCGAAAATTGTACATCCCTACAGTGGTCCGTAACTGGCGATAAATTTACTAATACGCAAAACAACCCAAGAAACCAGTCTATCCAGGCCGTACATGACCAGTCCCAAGCAATTGTCCCCTGGGCTCTGCAGTCATGCAACACTAACCCTCTTTCTGTTTCAGGTACCTGAAGAACCAATCAATTTCCACGGTGTGGGCACAGCTGGGAAGTAACAACCGCCCACACATTTCGAAAAGCACACGAAGCCTTCCTGAGCATCATTCTCCTCAACCCACATCATCTTACTTTCATTCCCCACAAGGCAGTGTGGGCAGGGACTCAAGGAATGCTGGTGACAAAAAAAGGGGTTTATGCGCCGTTCGATCCATTCGGATTCTGTAGCCCATGCGCATCATAGGCTCGGAATCGGGGCTTCCTACTCTTCCTAGGAAGACCAGTGTTTCCACCGTTTTATCGTGAGAAAGAAAACCTCCTCCGCATGGCGGTAGTTAATAGGACCTACCTACCTACCTGGAAGAGGCCAATGAAAGCACTTTGATAGAAAGACCTGCTCGACCGTACCAAATTGTCTAATCAATGTAACCCGCAAGCACACATACGTACACAGAAACATTATCCATATGTATAAATAACTAAGTAAGCAAATGCGACATTTTTATCATAGTATCAGTTCATTGTCAGACAGTTAAATTCATTCGAAAATGAAAGCATAGTGGAACAATCAGGGAATATATGTTACAGGATTTCATCATGAGCTGACGTCATTGGTTAGAGAACCATTGTAAAACCAGCTGTTTAAACAGTAAGCACCCACCGGGGTTCCAGTTACAAGGTCCAGAAGGTCCTGGGTTCCAATCCCGTAGTGTGAGTGCGTACTACTGAAAAGTCTCAAAACCAAGCTGACAAACAAAACAGCTATCCAGTACTCTCCCTGGCTGGTTTTCCAATTGTTCTCTAACCGATGATGTCAGCTCAACCGATGATGAAATCATGATACAATAACAGTTGAAAATATATGTGTACGTGTACACGCGTGGGACGGAGAGAATAAAATGAATAGAAAAAGGTATTCAGACCTTGAAAGATGTACAGACACACCCACGCACACACACACACTAACGCACAAGTGAATACACCTTTTGTACACGCTATGAATCCGATTTACTGTATATAAATTAGGTATTCAGCTAAAAAAACATTGAACAAAATAGGTGTACATACACAGTTCAGTATAACATATATACCTAGCAAGTAGAGACATGTATGTGAACTAGACATAATTTCACAGTCTGCGGGAATACTACCCTGGATAACATAAATACTGATCACCATCATCTCTGACGTCTTCACAGTAAATAAACACTTTCACCGATTGACCTATATTCTTATCGGTGAATATGAATATATGCCTAAGGTTATTCTTTATAAAAACAAATAACTGATCCTACACCAGGTGCAATATATGTAGCTAGTTAGAACTCAATTACATACTTTTCTATAGTTTGGTTTGTACGGGTTAGTTTTGTTTTTACGAGTTGATCACAGATTGATATCAGTTAGAGAACCATTAAAAACCACCCAGGGAATACTGGACAGCTGCTGTTTCATCCCACTAGTTTGGGAATCATCGACAGTACGCACCCACACTACAGGGTTAGAACCCAGGACCTTCCGGTCATATACTCGTGTACTATTCAGCCACTGAGACCCGATATAATGGCCATTGTATGAATTCTAACTTATACTAATTTGTGATTTTAGCGCGACTCTAACCAGTCTCGTCGGTGGGACATCCATCCTCACACGTGACATCTAATTGGACCTCACTGGTCAGGACTTCTCACTAAAACTCCAGGAAACTCTATCTTGTAACAAGTCACTAGCGAGCATCAGATTAATTTTCTACAGTTTGGTTTGTAAAGGTTAGTTTTGTTTTTACCATTTGATCACGAATACATACATCAAATTCCCTGAATTTCATTACCATATGCACTTTAAGCACTTTTTGCAGTCGTCCTACACAAGAGGTCAATCGCGAGCCAACCCGAACAGCTCAGTGGTAACGTCTCTGACTCCAGTACTCACTGGGTGATGCGGGCTCGAATCTCAGACGGGGGACATGAGTTCCTTCAAAGTAGTTGCAGATACGCCTGCCTTACTGGCTGACGAGTGCCAACTAGCACGGAACCTAGCTTTTGGTCAAGGCTTCCTCCGCCGATTGCCTCCAACCATCTAATACCGACAATTTAAGCACTATTATCTATATACCGGACGGAGAGTGACCGCACCAATGACCTTGAATATGACAATGAATTTCTTCACGAGAGTCTAAGCTTCTACTCGGCTTAATTCGAGTGATGAAATGCCTGTCCTAACAAATGCAGTTATGTCTGAAATTTGGTGCAGACCAAGTTTTCTAGCACTGTTTAGATATGAGAGATTGATTAGAAAAGAATGGATTTATTCCCTGTGAAGGTATAATGACTATAAAAAGCTACAATAGATCAGTTGATGGATATATTCACCGTTGTGGAATTTGTTTGAGACGAGTTAGTGTGAGGGAAGCTAAGCGAATGATTCTGCTATCTCGTAGGAACACCTTTTGCTAGATCCTATTAGTCATAAAACCAAATTTTGTACATTTGTAATTACTGAGTTTTAAAAACACACTGTGACGGCTGCAGCTGGTGAAACAGAGGAGAATGGTCTCGTTCCAACCGGTTCAGTGGTACTAGCACTGCAGAGGTATTGCGTCTTGGATGGTGGGGAAAGCGACTTCTTTATTAGGAACAGAAGGTGTCACTCTACATAGAGACGAAACAGTCCTGTGGCCGTGAAAAAGCAAATAACGTTTGCGTGATTGCATTATACGATACTTTTCCAGAGAAAGAATTCGTCTACAGAATATCAGACAGAAAGTCCAACTACTTTAATAACCATTATCACTCGATCGGTGAAACGAGAATCTACAGTACGCCCCCACAGGTGAGTGGAAAAGATATAATTCGTTGTTATCCCTGGGATATATATTCATCATCGATTAAAAACCATACTAGTAATTTTGTGGATCCCACTATTACTGGGACCCACACCAATTCTATCGAAGGACCATGGGAAAGGTTGAAGAACAGAATGAGAGCCCTTCCTGTATCTCAAAAGGATGCCACTTACAGTCATTTGGATGAATACATGCAACTTCGCTACTGATAGTCCTATCACACCTAAGAGACAGGCATCCTTTGGAACATTTTCATAAATTTATGTATTTTACACCCAAAAATAGCCTTTACAATGTGATTGGTGCGTTCAAGGCCATTCGCTGATTGGTAGTTACAGGTGCTTAAAGTTTAACTTCGCCGTGCTTCCCAGAGAGATGGGAGTGAATTGAACACCAAATGATGGTCGTTTCCCCGGTTTTTGGGTTGAGCTTATTAGCAGTGTACTACCACCCCATGTGACTCAGCTCCAGATAGCCAAATAAACTTCAAACTACCAGTATAACTGCATGCTTATGGAAGCGTATAGTAGGTTATTACTTCCTAACTTCCTACTAAAACCATGGGGACTAACGAAAACTACTTTAGGCCGGTCACACATTACCTGTTCGAATCAGTTTTTAGGAAGTTAGGGGCCCATCCATCGTATTAAGATCTCACCAAAGACCACTGCAAGGTGAGTCCGGATGTACAACCTCGCCTCTCCAGAGAGTGGAGAGGCAGCACAGCTAGTTTTCAGCAGGTTATCCTAAGGGAAACACACTTCACTTACTGCAGTTTCATTCTCCACTCACCAGCAGTAGGACTTCGCCTAAACACTCCCAACAACTAACATGTGACGATGGTAACTGCTCTTATAGCCTAACCGCTATCCAATCGACCATTTTGGCATAATGAGACCTGTAAGAACATAAGTTTCAGTTAGTGTAGCCCAGTGGGGTTATTAGAGTATGCAAACCTGAAGACCACACGCGTCAAGCATGAAAGTAGAGTCTTCATATGAATGTTATGCCAAAGAGATAAAGCAGACTTTGAATTGTAGGAATTCACAGTTCAGCAACACAACATCATTTAGCCACACACACACACTACTAGAAAGAATAGCGGGCTGTGTGAGTGGAGAGAAGTTACATTGACAAATATAAATAATTATGAATAAGATATAGCGCGACTTACGAACGACTTTCCAGCTTGAAGACATGAACAGTCTCTGTATGACTAGCCGCAACAAGATATTGACTATTCATACTGAATGATAAGCAGCATATAGATACACAGCTGAAAAAGAAGCAGAAGAAGTACAAACAGAAAACAGTCACATGTGGTCGGTAACCGTGGAGTCCTCAGACTGACTCCTAGACAGACTTCATCAACAACTGACATTACGTGAATAACTAGTAAAAAGCTAAAGACATCCGACTCATGCATTCTATGTACCCACGATTATGCCCATAAATCGAATCCGTGCTAGTTGGAGTAACTTAGTTTCATCATAAAACTTTGCAAAGAAGTACAAAAGTTCCAGCTGCCACACTCCATGTAGCATACAAAGGCAGAAAAAAGAGAGATAAAAAGAAATTCACAAGAATTACATCTGCGCATCTGCACCATTGAGAATAATTATGAACCATAATGCCAATAGTCTCCAGTCATTGGATCATAACATCTCGAGGACCCCATCAACGAGTCAGGAAGTCTACATCTTCCTATGTGGCTAGCTCAAACCAGTTGTCAGAGACTTCTTGGGTTGATTCCAATTTTCGGTTCAACCACCTCTAACTATTTCCAAACTTAATCCTATGTCAGCTGACATCGTTTGTCGAGGAAGGTGGTGGATCAGAATGCGTGACACATGTACAAGCCATCTTCACAAATTCATCGATTAACTTACCCTCCCTACCTAACAATCGACACTTAATCTCAATATTACTCACATTATCATACCACGGAAGATAGAACGCAGACACCTATGATCACAGATAACAAACTTGAATGACTGTGGAAATCTGCTGAACCCAGGGTCAAGAACAAGATCCAGATTTTCAACATCACTTTAATGTCAAGTCAGTCCAGTTAGGGCTTCTACTATTATGGTTTACACAACTGGTGGCACACGTCACGAAAAGTGTTTCCAACAGGCTGTTAGTGAAGACTTCCACAGCAGGACAGCTATCCTCGCTCCATACTGAAGATCAGATGGCCGAAAGGGATTAGCAGTTAAACCAACCAAGGACCAACTGCCCAACAAATATGCAAAATGACGTGGAGATGGACTGCACATACACCGAGAAGACTGTTACCTAACATCATGCGCCAAGCAATCCCTCGACTGGAACCCGAATGTGAAACGACGAGTAGGACGACCGAGTGTGACGTGGAGAAGATTGTGTGAGGAGGAGGTCAGAGTTTATGGGCGATCGTAAAGCCAGTTGATGGACACATCAGAGAAGAGATTGAAATGGAGATGTGTTGCTGAAGGCCTCCGTTCTACTCGTAAACAAATAGAATAATAAAAATTATTATTATAGATTTACAGGAGCAGTGGCTAGGGAAGTCCTATTGATCTAACATTTGCTGACATTTTTCTAGCTCATTTAGAGTGAATACCACACTAGATGATGCAATAAAAAATAAACGAAAATGTGCTTAAGGTAAGTAGACGACTCGATTATTATTATTATATCACTAGTTTTCCTTTGTGTTCCAACTAAAATACAAGCCGCTACTTCGCTAACAAACCGCTAAACACTTAGAAAGAGCTAAAGAACATGCTAGAACCGAAAAATTCTTCACATACCAACTTAAAGCCTTCGATTTCGTCTCACTTGAAATCTTTCATTGAAAATTCCAACTGAGGACTGGAAACCAGCTGCAACTATGGACCACAGACTACTTGGAAAGCAGAGGATTCCAAACGAAGATTAATTGGGTATTCGTTACAAGGGAAATACCATCCATCGTTATATCCCCACCGCTACTGATGATTACAATAAATGGCCGTGTAACTAACCGAAGTTCTCCACTCCTTCATTATTATTATTATTATTATTACTCCCCTAGGTTCTGAGTGAAACACAACGCTTCATCAACACATCTCTATTTCGCCTTGTTCACATTTCCAATTGGCCTTATGATTGCCTCAGATCACGACGAACTTGGCGTTTCCTATCCGGATTCCCCTCGGGAGTTTGGCGTGTAATTTCACTCAACAGTTTCCTCAAAATGTGTCCAGGAGCCGATCGCTCAACAAATATGTGTGAGAAAATGGAGATGCATCGGGTATACGTTGAGAAGAGGCTGTCAAATGACATCGAGCGCTAGGCCATCACCTGACTGGAATCCTAATGGGAAGTGAAGAGTGGAGCGTCACTTAGAAGGTGACATGGAGATCGTGCACCCGGCTGAAGAAGACAGCAGTAAATGAAACAAAGTGGAGATGTGTTCTTGAAGCCCTATGTTCCACTGGGAACCCATGGAAATAATAATGATAATGTACGTGGAAAGAACAGATGTGGGTACTTGCAAAAAGTATGTATGAACTTGTATCAAGAAGAATTGCTTCGATAGGTGCAAGATTACATAACAGTGTTACTCGTACATATCGACTTTAATACAGCTTTCTAAAGGGTGTTTAGGGACAATAATAGTAGACTACTACTACTACATGTAAAAGAATCAACAATCTGATGATCAGAACTTCATTTATGTGTGCAGATTTTTCGGTCTATCTTGTACACTGACTTTACAATTTGTTAATAATTCATGATCTACTTTTCTATTACTTCAAGTTTGATTACGAATTGATGCCAATTAGAGAACCAATGAAAACACTGGACAACTGTTTTGTCCTAGTCTGGGACTCTTCATCAGTACACATGCATATCCCAATCGAGGATCGAATCCATGACAGCTGCAGTAGCAGCGACTGACTACAGGATAACATTGTCTAGAGTCTTAGCAAGACCTTGTGACCACGAGGATCCAACAAGCCGGCTGTGAGGACAAATGCTCGCCGATGACCCTGGCATCGGATTCCATCCCAGTGGCTAGAACTATCAACGAGCTCGCCTTGTAACCTGAAGGTCATAGGTTCGATCTTGTGTGAGTGGAATCGTCAGCGTGTATTCCTGAAGAGTCCAAAACTAGGACGAAACAGATGTCTAGTACACCCTGGCTTCCAGCAGTTCTATGACTACAATATTAGTCCGTGATCAAAACTGAAATCAATCACACCCGTACATAAACTAATACATGTAAATTCTACTATTTGTTCCATACTTTTATCATTCGTAGACACAGATCATCTTTCTAATACACTGTTGACTATCCATTATACTTATCAGGCTGAAAGATTGTTTCTCAAGGTTATCTATCTACTTATATTGTTTCTACTATAATTCTACCCTTCTATCAACAACAACAAACCATCTTAGTTGTCCTCTCCTATATATATAATCAAGTTCTCTAACCCCTTGGTTGATTCACCGTGTTCTGTTTGAGTCGAATCATATAGCATGTGACTTAGTTATCGCACAGTAATAAAAATAATAATAATTTGCACTTTTATTTGTGGTTATTTGTGTATACGATATTAAAACGAGCATGGTTCACGTTAGTTTTGTTCCCGTATACATTAGTGTATCTGGGGCTTGTGTAAAGTACACCATCTGCGTTTTGCCTTCATCTATTTGAAAATGACAGCGACGTGTCTTTTAGGAGAATTCAATTTACACTTTCCCGTTGATTCATTGAACCCGAAGTGCTCGGCCTCAGGATGCTTCGTCGATGTCTGGTTGCTTAATCTGGAGTTAACTGGTGAACGCAGGAGGATGTGCATTTCGTCCTATTTGAGACTCATCAACTGGCGTTTGAAACTATGACTACTGAAAACGAGCCTCAGTGGGGACACCATCACTTACTGACTAGGGAATGCAGAGGTACATCCAGATGGCGACTACTTATAAATAGGACGAAATGAGCATCCTGGTGGATTCCACTGCAGGTCACCACCATCCACTTATGACAACGAAATTGTTATGCTATTTAAACGGTAATCAGAACAATATTGAAATAATCCAGAAAAACCATTTCAGAAATCACAAAGGACGTCTAATATCATCAGAAGCACTTCATATCATCAAATGGAATCCAAATTGCCTGTATAGGAATGATGGACTAAAAAACTGAATCTGACCTGGTTACAACACCTCCCTCCCCTCCCCCATGAAGTGACAAAATCAACAAGAATGTGATAAACAAGTTCACTATGATTTTGATTTCGTTATCTTTACCAACTGACCAACTTGACAACAAAAAATGACCTCAGACTAACGAACGATGATCAAGTAAGCTTTGTTTTGATACCATAACAGATGTACTATTACCTTTGTTATTTGGTTTAGTGATCTTCATTGTTATTTTGACTTTCAATATGTCCTTTTAACTTGACCTAACTTGTCTATTTTCTCACTTCTTAACCCTTTGTTATATATAAGCTGAGTGGATTTTGTAAATTCCGGTTTAATAATATTTTGATAAAGCTATTAGCAGCAGCATTAAATAGTGAAACGTCAGTAAAAGCAGCAATATCGTTTTATTTTTTCATTCATTGGGAAATACAAAAACCTTTATTATAAAGAACAAGATGGTTTCGCTAAATTCTTCCTCAGACTCTACCAAAAGGCCAGACAGCAAGTTAAAGTGAAACATCTACAGAAAAGCGACATGGAACAGACGTAATATCCATTTCCATAGTTTCATACCCGTACATTATAGACGGAATTCGATTTGTTGTCGTAGTTAGAGAACTAGGCGCCTATATACTGAGGATTGTATTGAAGAAGAAATCGATAACCTTAAAAATACCCCGGTACAAAATGATTATCCTACCAATTTTGTAAAGAAGTATATTTTCTATAGTTTGGTTTGTAAGCGTAAGTTATGTTTTCACGAGTTGATCACGGATTGATATCAGTTAGAGAACCACTAAAAACCAGTGAGGGAGTACTGGACAGCTGTTTCATCCTAGTTTGGGAATTATCGACAGTACGCACCCATTGGGGTTCGAATCCTGGGCCTTCCGGTTACAAGGCAAGCTTGTATACCATTCACCCACTGGGACCCGGTCCAATTGCCCATGAATTCTAACTTCTACCAATTCGTGATTTAGTTAGAATTCATGAGCCATTGAATAGGGTCCAAGTGGTTGAATGGTATACGATCTTGCCTTGTAAACGGGAGGTTCCGGGTTCGAACCCTAGCAGTGGGTGCGTACTGTCGATGATTCCCAAACTAGGATGAAACAGCTGTCCAGTACTCCAGTGCTGGTTTTCAATGGTTCTTCTCTAACTGATATCAATCCGTGATCAACTCGTAAAAAGAAGTATATTTCTAAAAGAGCTAACAGAATTAAGCGTGTTGCGGTGAATGTGAAAAAGCTCTATTTATGAGTAAAGTTCACAAATGATATATCCCGTGATATATAAAGCCACAGGTTAATCAAATCAGTTGAAAGAACCTTCATCCAATGGTGCAGAACTACACATCGGTTTCTCAACCAGACTGTTACTGACACAATGCACCAAAGATGAATTACCAAAGATAGCCACATCAATGTGTGTATACAAATCCAACTGCTCGTGTGCAACTAGTTGTATAGGTCGAACTCTTCAGAGGAATTTATCTCTACGCGCTCATGAACATATATTCCTGTTTGGCTTGGAAAAAGAGTAACCAAATCAATAAATAGTGCCATTTTGTCTCATCTAGTAGATAGTGAACACCAAATGATAATAGATGAGTCATTTACGGTTGTATATCGAGTGAGTACCAAACAATCTGCCTAAAGGCACACGATTACATCTCTTAGCTATACAGAATTATAAGAAAAATCCTGACCTATGTGTGTAAACAAAGCACACTCATCCTCTTTGTTTACCCTGGCCTACTATAAGGTCATCAGGAAAACAAGCGCCTCATATTTTCATGTCATATTATGCCTTTCTTATTCCTTTTCACCTACTAGTTTACTTATGATGTGTCAACCTTTTGTAATTTACACTAAGCTTTATTGTCATTTCTCCGGTTATTTTGTTACAGTTCACAAGTTAACCTCTTCATTTATTATAATAAAGATTTTTTTGTATTCCCCAATGAATGAAAAAACAAAACGTTATTGCTGTTTTTACTGACATTTCACTATTTAATGCTGCCGCTAATAGCTTTATCAAAGTATTATTAAACCGGAATTTACAAAATCCACTCAGCTTATATATAACAAAGAGTTAAGAGGTGAGAAAATAGACTACTTAGGTCAAGTTAAAGGGACATATTGAAAGTCAAAATAGCAATGAAGATCACTAAACCAAATAACAAAGGTAATAGTACATCCGTTATGGTATCAAAACAAAGTTCACTAACTTGATCGTCGTTCGTCAGTCTGAGGTCATTTTTCGTTGTCAAGTTGGTCATTTGGTAAAGATAACAAAACTATCACGTGTAGATTGTTGGATTTGATCAGTGTGTAAAATTACAAAAGCAGCGTGTGTTTACATAGTGAACTTGTTTATCACATTCGTGTTGATTTTGTCACTTCATGGGGGAGGGGTGGGAGGTGTTGTAACTAGGTCAGATTCAGTTTCAGTCCATCATTCCTATTCAGGCAATTTGGATTCCATTTGATGATATGAAGTGCTTCTGGTATTAAACGTTCTTTGTGATATCTGAAGTTTTTCTGGATTATTTCAATATTGTCAGAATCAATTTTGTGGCCTGATTCTATAGCGTGTAGACGACCTACGGCTTTTTTTTCTTTCTAGTTCAACTGGATTTCTCGGTGGTCAAACAGATGCTCTTCGGTGTTCATTGCTTCTGATTTTGATTTCTCAAGATGTTTGTCCGATGTATATCGCATCACATTCCAAGCATTTTTATTTTATAGACACAATTAGATAGAGAATCTCTAGGGACTTGGTCTTTTATATGGACAATCCCTAAAGATTTTGTATCGAATTGTGTCTATAAAATAAAATGCTTGGAATGTGAAGCTGGATTCAGGAAAGACAAATCATGTGCTGATCAAATTGCAACTCTACGCATAGTCATTACAGAACAAAGCATAGGATGGCAGTCAAACTTCTCCTTACTTCAACTTCATCGACTTCGAAAAGGCCTTCGACAGATCAGCGTTGACTGAGAAGTAATTTGGGAACTGGTTCAGTCTTTATCAACCCCATTCAACAGCTGGCTATATGACAATGTCAAGTGTCAGGTGATCCGCAATGGGAAACTCAGCGAGGCGTTCGAAGTACATACAGGGGTAAGACAAGGCTGGCTGCCTATTATGACTGATGATATTCCTAATTGTAGTGGACTGGATTATGCGTCAGAATGTCACACAAATTCGAAGATTGCCAGGTAAAAAACCAACAAACCGACTGAAGAGGTAGACAGTGAAGAAAAAACTTCAGGTGAAAATAGAGAAGACGGAAGTGATAAAGACAACCAACAAACCAACAGCAGAACAACAACAATCAGCACCAATCACCATCAACCGGATATATATTTGACAGAGGTTACTTCCTTCATTTATCCGAATAGGAAGTACGATTTCAGCTACAGACACACGGAACGAATGAAGGCGTCGAAGCCGATGAGAATCGGAAAGGCAAGATACGACACGACTTCATCAACCTGAAACCAGTTAGGAAATCTTCTGCACTCCGCCTTAACACAAACAACAAGATTCGGATTTTCAACACCAATGTTAAGCCGGCCCACCAGAAAGAATTAGTAACAAGAAACTCTACAGTGGAATGGATCGGGCATGAGCTGTTACATATTAATTTGTGTGGTTCATCATTTTCTGTTACAAAGAAAATCTGTCCCAAGTAACTGAATTCTAGCTAACAGACGTAAGTATTGTGACAGTTTGAAACAACTGTACCTAAATAAAAGTAGATACAGGGAGCAGATAGTTAACGTCACAGCTCTAATTGACAGACGATGTAACTTCAGAAAATTGTCAAAATCGGCGATGAGACAGCTGACTAACTGACTGACTGACTGATTGAGTTTTTTCAATATACAATTATGCACTTCTGTGCAGAAGTTCAAGTCGCCACACTCCATGTATCACAAAAAGGTAGCCAAAAGAGAGAGAGAGAAAGAAGATATTCAAAAGGACTATAACTAGCAGAAATGCGAGGGGGGAAAGAACAGCAGTAACGTGGAAAAGCCATTCAGATTTCAATGGATGTGAGAGAGAGAGAGGGCGAGATCACAAAAAGTCAATGCATCTGAGTCATTGAGGATGACTGTGAGTCATATCAGCAATAGCCTTCAACCCTTGTGGTTCTTAGCATTCCTGAGGACTAAATCGGCCAACCTACACCTCCCTATGTGACTGGCTCAAATCAACTCTCAAAGACTTTATGAATTCATCCCAGGTTTTGGTATAATCAGTCCTAACTATATACCAGCCCATTGTCGAGAGAGATGATGGCACAGCATACGCAACAACACATGTCCTGTCCTAGCCATCTCAATCACCATTCACCTTCACAGCTGCATCGATCGAATTACCCTTCCTTACCACCCAACACACTAGGCTTAATCTCAATAGTACTACTCACCAATATTTATACCAATTAACACGAGAGACAGAATGCGAACATATGTAGGCATATGTGGCGGTTTGACTGTTAGTCAAACCAAGTTCAAACCCTTGACCTATTGACTATACACATAATGATGCCAAAATGCAACTGACTGTATGAGTCAGTGTACTACATATTTACAAAAAAGAACGAAAACTCACCGAGTAAGTCCACGACGAAATTCAATCACTTTTTCGCCTTGTGGAATAGAAAATACACGAATCACAGTACCCTTTTCTGAAGCAGTAGCCAATAGATTAGCTCTAGCATTAAATGTAAGACAAGCCAGTAAACCGTCATGTGCAGCAATAGATGTGACGTTCTGTAAATACAGAGAGAGAGAGAAAAAAACGTAATAATGATAATAACAACACAAGGAGGTTCAGATACTGATACTATCTGATAATAAGACATCATTATTATCTGAAGTCAACTGTTCGTGGATGGTGACTAGCAGTGATGGAATCCAGGAAAACGCGCATTTCGTCCTATTTGGGACCCGTCATCTGGATGTATTTGCATTTCATCCTGGACTGCACTGCTAGTCACCACCATCCACGAATAATCGACTTCAAGTTACATGACCAGACATTGTCGAAGCATCTCAACAAGGCGCCGACATGTCAACCTGAGACTGAGCACTTCGGTTCAATCAATCGACAGGAAAATCTAACTAAGTTGAATTAAATGACTATTACTAGTTAAAATTACAGAATAAAAGTGATAAATACTCTCAATCGATGGCGGAAAAACACTGGAGGTGTATTTCGTCCCACCTAAGACTCGTCAGCCAAGTAAACTTGCTCTCCAGTGGAATGACTGCCTTTACGCCGAGAGAATAAGACTCAGAAACCCGTAGGAGGCTGATCTATTCAATCTACGAACACACACTCATAAATGTAATACAGGAGGTGAATCGCATGGCTCAACAGCCAACTTTTATCAGGAGTGGTGTCTTTTATACGGTAGAGGGATTTTAGCCTCACTCTAGCCCAACCTTCCTCTCCCTTCACCGGGCTTGCTTTCAGGGCTAAGCGAAATTTAGCAGTGCGTCGGCCGAAGAATCGAATCCGGACGACTTGCAGCGCGTGGTACGTGAGCATCAAACCACCACCGGACTACCAACACACAGCTTAATAGCTTAGTGAGTAGGCAAGCAGCTAGTTTGAGTCTTAGTGGGAGCATTATCACTCATCACTGGAGATTCAAGTGCATTCAATTGATGAGTTCTAAAACACCATCATGGATTTCTTTTCGAACATATCACAAAAATGACTCAGTCTGGTCATTTTAGCAACTTACTTTACTGATCTCTTAAGGTAAGGACAGATAGAGAGAGAGAGAGAATTCCGATGATTCTTAGTTAAACTTGCCATTTGTTTTCCCCTAATCTACAACATTTCATCTGTTCCCATTGTTCTTGGCTTGACAGGACGCAGAAGTTCAGTTCAGAATGTGTGTGTTTTGTTGTCTCTGAGAATAATAAGAGGCATGTTACAATGAATTATCATGTGGTCAGTGAAACTGGAAACACAACTATCCAGATTACTGAGCCACAACATACACTCAAACTCCTTTTTGGTTGGCTCCACAACTGCCCATATTCTGTCAACTCCTCCAAGTCACCATAGGACACACGTTTAACTCATCGTCTCCCAATGGGATTCCACTCTATAGGTTGCCCGAGTGTCATTCAATGATCTCAACGTGTGTCTGACCCAACTCTATTTCTTCGCCATATTTATTGGGCAACAAGCTATTGGTTGGTTTGTTGCCTGTCAGAGTTCCTTGTTGATGGTTATCTGACCTTCACTATCGAACGAAGGCAGCTGTTGTTGAATATCTACAGTAGCCCGTTGGGAATGCTCCTGGTGACACGCCAAGTGTTTGTACCATACAGAACCACTGACTGTATTTTGTTCTTGTTTGCTGAGTAGAACAGATTTCCAAACTGATTTCACAGCAATCAAGGCCTGGCTTGCTTTTCCAATCGCCTCTAACCTCCATATCCGTCTGTAGTTGAAACGATGGTGACTAGGTGTGACTGGAAGAAATGACTCCCATCAAACTCTTCCCGCTGACAGTAACTGATGCTACCGGGTATCTTTTTAACACCTCTGTCTTCGTTATGTTCACTTGAAGTCCTATGTCTTCGCTGCCAACCTCTCTTCTGCCAGCCTGTTTGGTTTTCGCCTGTACATCTTCGGATGTGTGTGTATACACTAGATAGAAAAATTGAACCTTTCTGGAACCGAAAGAGAAAAAGAACTCCATCACTTCTAAGTTGAAATTTGAATTTTCCTCGCAGTTATTCTACGAAATAGTTAATCAATACTGTCTCTTACTAATTTACATATGAATATCATTCAAATTTCTCCGAATGAAGACAGATGAACTCCTGGAAGCCACAGAAAGCGTGATATACATTTGTGTAAGAGGTTTATATGTTAACTAAAAAAATAAAACAGTACTTAATTGTTCAAGTATTTGGTGGATGGTGACTAGCAGTGAAGGAATCCAGGACGCGTAATTCGTCTTACGTGGGACTCATCATCTGGATGTACTTCCATTCCTTATAGAGTGGTGGTGTCCCTACTCAGGCCTGAAGCCAGTACGCTCTGTCCTCCTTTATGGTTGTAAGTGAAACATGAAAAGGCTGGTCAGCTCTCTCTGATCATAGGTGTCTGCGTTCTATCTCCCATGTTAGGCGGCATAATAGGGTGAGCAATATGGGGATTAGGCATCGGGTCGAATGCTAGGTGAGGAGGGAGAGTCAATCGACGACTTTGTGAAGTCATACCGGTTGAGAGTTGGTTAGGACATGTGTTACTCATTCCACTGAGCCACTGCCTTCCTCCATCGACGGGCAATGTTAGCTGATATAAGATGGAACAGGTTGGAAAAGAGCTAGTGATGGTGGTCAAACCAAAACATGGCTTCATCAGTCAATTAAAACCACAACAGTAAGTCTGAGCTAGCCACTTTGGGAGATGTGGACTTCCTGACTGGTTTGGGTTCTGGTGTGATACGGACAATGTGTCCCAACGGGATATTACTCTCGTATATTCCCACAGTTCACTACTGCATTAGCAACATAATACCACGTATATCTGAACATCCTGTTTGTTGCTAGAGTCAGAATATTATTCCCACAGTTCAATACTGCATGAGCAACAAAATAATATATGTATTTGAACATTCTATTTCATGTCATTTAATGTAAGCCAAAATCACAGACTCAGTGACTGGTTAAAGAATATAAACTGTAAGTATACTTTGACTGAACACTAATAACTAGTGTCCAATCAAAGTACCTAATACATTCCTACAGGAGGTCAATCGCGAGCCTGAATAACTCAGTGGTAACGTCTCTGACTGAAACACTGGGTGACACGGGGTTCGAATCTCAGAAGGGACATGAGTTTCTTCAAGACTGCAGATACGCTTTGCTGACTACTGGTGAGTGCCAAGTAGCAGAAGACCTAGGGTCCAAGGCTTCCTGCCTCATAGCGGTCTGATCCATGGAAAATATACCTTGGCTTGCGTGTCTTGCCTTCTGTTGTTACACTGGGGATGGTAAGAACCAATGGAAGCTGGAGACAATCTCTCATATGACTCAAAATCGTTGTCAATGGCTAGCGCATATGCATTCACTCTCGGTGATTTATTATTATTATGATTATTATTATTGTTTCCTTTAATTCCTAGAGGAACATAGGGCTTCAGCCGTGCGTCTCCATTGAGTTCAGTTCCCTGCTAGAGTTTACGCCTGGCTCCAAGTCTGCCCACACGTTTTCATCTCCTCTTCACATGACCTCCTCCAAGTCATCCTTGCACTGACGACCAACTCACCGCTTCCCTTTCGGGTTCCACTCGAGCAATGGCTTGTCTAGTGATGTCACTTGATGGTTTCCTCAGAGTATGGCTAATCCACCTCCATTTCTTCCTGCTTATTTGTTTCACAATCGGTTCCTGGTTGGTTCGCTCCCAGAGATCTCTGTCGGTGATCTTTTCTGGCCGGCCATCTGATATTGAGTAGTATTGAGCGAAGACAGCTGTTGATGAAGGTCTGTAGTTTGTTTGAGGTGCTCTTTATGACGCGCCAAGTCTCTGATCCGTATGGTGAGTAGCACTGACTTCACATTGGAGTTGAAAATCCGGATCTTATTTTTGGTGCTGAGTGCTGTTGACCTCCACACAGACTTGATTTATAATATCCAATAAAACTTTATTGTTCTTTCATATTACTACTATTCTTCTTCCCTCACTGACACTTGTGTTAATTATCTCTGTCTTTTGAATCTCTCTCGTCTCTCTTCTCTTGCTTTGTGTGCTACATGGAGGCAAGAAGAGTGGGAACTTGAAGTGCTTCACATCTATGGAAAGTTCTACGTTGAACCTAGCCAGTCAGTTAGTCAGTGAACTCAATACCCTTCGTTTCAAAAGCATACCAAAGCGTTATCCATTAAACCACTTAGGTAACGAGAGCCACTACCTCTTGTGCAACAGGCACCATCGACTAATCGGCATTTGAGACGATGGGTACTGGGGTTCGAGCTCCAATGAGTGAGAAAAACCATCAATCACTCATTTGGGGGGGAAACAAGTACATCCATCCAAGTAGGACGAAACGCTCACACTCTTCGATTCCACTACTCTGTCTGTCTGTCTGGATTCAACATAGAACTTGTCACCGAAGTGCAGCAGTTCGAGTTGCCACGTTCCAAATAGCAAACAAAGGTAGACAAGAAGATGAGTGAAGGGAATTAATCGAGTTTTGACAAGTATAAGAGTGAAACAGAATGAGTAATGGTAGAAAGGAATACAAAAGATTACAGAGACTGAATACATCTGCTTAAGCCATTGACAACGATTTTGAGCCATGTCGCCTATTGTCTCCAGCCATTGATTCTTAGAGTCCCGAGGGCGGGCCCCAACCCGGAAGTCTGCATCTCCCTACCTGACTCAGTTTAACTGTCAAGGATTTCATGGATTGATGAGGCCATGTTTTTGTTTGGCCACCACTTACTCTCTTCCAACCTGCACCTATATCGGCTAGTAATGCCCGTCCGTCAGGGGAGGCGATGGTTAGGCATACGCAGCACGTGACCTAGCCATCTCAATCCATGTAACTTTATAGCCTCGTCGATTGCTTTTCCATTCTTGCCCAACACTACGCCTAACGTCAACATTACTTACCTTATTATGCTACCTAGCGTGAGAAAGAGATCGTAGACATCTACGATCAAAAACAGTCAACCTTTTCATGTCTTCAACTCGTATTGGCCATGTTTCAGAGCCATAGAGAAGGACGGAGCGAACTGCTGAGCAGTATACACGCCCCTTGGTTGATAGCCGGATGTCACGCCTACGCCAGAGATGGTGTAAGTTAGCGAAAGCAGCTCGAGCTTTTTGGATTCGTGCTGAGATTTCGATTCCACTAGTAGTCACTACCCACTATAAAATTATTTCAAGTTCATCCACAGATATCGTCGAAGCATCCACACAAGGAGCCAGGACAACATGTCACGACACATGCCAAGCATTTTGGTCCAATCAATGAAGGGGGAAATCAAAGAAACACATTGAAACAAATGTAAAACAAAAGTAATAGTAATAATAGTGGTAATAATAATAATCAATGATCGATCGCGCTTTTTAATTCCTATCGATTTCAAAGTTCGTCCAGAGTACTGAAATCATCGATTATCTCATATGCCATATGAAGTAGTAAATTAATCATCAGATGACTGCGTGATATATTTTTTTCAGAAAAAAAACAAACACTGAAAACACGTGAATTACGCAGAAAAAGTATAGAGTAGCTAAATATATATATTCAAATGAACTGTCGTCAAGATTTGACAGAACAGTTCTAAAATATTTGGGCGCCGAGTGAGAAGTAGACATTTGTAAAAAATTATATTTGTAAAATCTCAGCGAGATTGAAATGCGTAATTCCAACGTTTCCTGTGTTCGGCAATCTGGTCCGAACTCCTTCAGGGAAATTAATCGAAATTAACATAACATAGGTTTATATATAAAAGGAACATCACTTGTTTTTAAAAACTTTGTCCAATCATGAGTCATTCAACCAGGAAGTCTACATCTTCCTGTTTGGCTGGCTTAAACTAACTGTTGTGGATCCCATTGACTGATGAAGCCATTTTTTGGTTTGACCACCACTGGCTAGCTCTTTTCCAACCTGACCTTATGTCAGCTAACATTACTCATCGAGGAAGGCGAAGACTAGGCACACGTAACACATGTCCTAACCATCTCAGTCGATGTAGCTTCACAGCCTCGTCGATTGATTTCCCCTCCTACCTACCTAGCACTCGACTTATGTCTAACCTCAGTATTGCTCACTCTACTATACCACTTCACACGGGTACAGTTCTCAATCTAACTTAAAATCACTCATATCCTTGGACACCAACACAGCAGCTAATATAAGACGCTGTATAGTTTCTGCTGTCTGTCTGTGGTTCAACAGTTGAATACTCGCCAAACACTCCGCAAGTGGTCCAGGGTTCAAATCCCGGCCACCTAAACCTCGTTTAACTAGTGCAGTAAACCCAGTTAAGGTGAGAAGGTTCAGAGTGAAACTACCATCCCCCCTTGAGGTTAGGCGTCGAGTGCTAAGTAAGGAGGGGAAATCGGTCGACAAGACTGTGAAATTACATCGACTGAGATGGTTAGGACATATGTTACGTATGCATGCCTAGTCATCGCCTTCCTCGACGGGCAATGTTAGCTGATATAGGGTCAGGCTGGAAAAGATCTAGAGGCGGTGAAAAGAAAACATGGCACGTCAATGAAATCTACAACAGTTAGTCAAAGCCACGTAGGAAGTTGTAGACTTCCTGACTGGTTGGGTTCCCCAGGACGGTAAAAACCAATGGTTGGAAACAATTGGTGACATGGCTCAAACTCATCGTTCTCAATGGCTGGTGCAGATGCATCCACTCCTTGTGACTTATGATTTACAGTTAAACTGTTTTGTTCTTCGTTATTACTATACCTTTGTCTCACATCTCTGTTTACTGTCTACATTATGGATTTCTCCTACTTTCTTCTCTTCCTTTGTGTGCTACATGGAGTGTGGCGACTTGAACTGCCGCACATATGTGCAAAGTTCTATGTCGAAAACAGACCGACCGACCGAGCAACCCCTCTACCGCGTAGAGAAAAAAATACTCCACCACCGCTATTGAGACTTCGAAACTCCCACTTGAAGCCCTGCGTTCCACACTTGGAATAATGCAAAGGAATATCAAATATCAAGTAGTAATTAAAAAAAAATTTCTCACATACCTGAAAACTTAACGCATCAAATATGAATACAGTGCCAACACGATGTGAACCTGGATAGGCTAGATAACAATTATTCTCATTGGCTGATAAAGCGATAACACCATTACGATTTGGTGGAGTCTCTTCAACTTTGTGCAACAACTGCATATCACGCATATTATGAATAAATATACCATCTTCTACACAGACTACAAGACGCTGAGAAACGGAGAAAAAGAGAAGATATTAAAATGATAATGCTGAGAATATATATTATTGATAATAGTGATAGTAGTTAACTTCGTCTTTAATAAAATACTGGAAAAAATGAACAGTTGTTTTACTAAAACTCTAAGGCTCACCCACCAGAAGAGGATGTTCCACAGAAATCAAACTGCAACTCAGTATTGAGGAATAACTTGATTTTGATATCCAGATTCTATACAGACACATGTCAAACTGTTAGTTAGATATGTGTGTAAAACTTGGGCACTGTGGTAGTAAGTAATTCCATATTAGTTTGTTTATTAGGTGTATCACACAGTAAGTGAAACAGTATTAGTATTTACTGGATGACACAGTTTCAAACAAAATTTATTGTTCATAATCATATCAATTATTAACATACAACTTCGAAACTTGAGTTTTATAGTCTTTGTTTTCTCCTATTTGTCGTAAGGGTAGTAGAATGTTCCAGATATCTGGGACAGGTGTTGAATCATTCCTATTACATGTATTTGCAGTTCATCTGATAAATCAAGCTTCTATTATCAATCTCTCCCCATACCCTGTGACATTAGATTTTAAAACTGTCATCTTATCCCACCCCATATTCTGTCGGTCGGTCGGTTAGGTCTTCGGGTACCTGAAATAGAGGAGAGGTTAGTGTTGCATGACCGCAGAGCCCAGGATACAGCTGCTTGAGGCCGGTCGCACGCGGCCTGTTTTTGTTTGTTCTTATTCATTTGGTGTGTCTCAGTAGCGTATTTATCACTTCTGCCCTGTGACACGGCAGCAGAAAGCGCGGTCGTTGTTAATCCGGGCCCCGACCGATTCGGCATGATATTTCGTGGATTTGTTTGGATCATAGTGTAGGATTGGGTAGCTGCTTTTTGTCTAACCGCTATCCAAACAACCTTTCTGCAATGGTAGGACCTACAGGAACTTAAGTTCCAGCCAGTGTAGCTCGTTGGGTCATTGCGACATACAAGCCCGACCACCACGTCAAGGTAGCAGCTATCGGCAGGGGTGTGTTTAATTGCATGTGGTGAGTGCTCTAGCTGAACTATTCTCTAGATTTCTTATCTTATTCGGGTCAACTAACCTAGATTTTGCTAGGCTTTTATGCTCAGCTAGTCTGACTGCCCCTGTTCTACTACTTTGAACCATGTATTTGACCTGACAATCATTGCAGGCAGGGTATTAGATAAACTAAATTGTCTTGTTTTAAAGACTCCATAGGATTGATCCTTTAACCGAAAAAGCTTATTTCTAATTGAGTTTGTTGGTGACTGAATGCCAGCCACTTTTATTCCTGCCTTGTTAAGAATTCTGGGTAAGGTTTCTGAGGTTTTTTTCTTGTATGGAATTACTACTGATGATTTAGACTGCTTATTGTAGGTTGGAGGATTTCATCATGAGCTGACATCAGTTAGAGAACCATTGGAAAACCACCTGGGAGTACTACCAGACAGCTGTTTCTCCAGCCTAGTTTGGGACTATTCATCAGTACGCACTCACACCACAGGGTTCGAACCCACGACCTTCTGGTTACAAGGCTAGCGAGTTCGTAGACCATTAAAGCCACTGGGACCCGATTCAATGGCTATCCCATGAATTCTAACTTCTGTCAATTCATGACGTGGCGCGACCACATCGCGATGTCTTCTTCTTCGATGAGTTACTGCCTCACATTCAACCTGCTGTACCCTACCGGTCACGGCTTCCCACTAGATTTCCAGGTAACTACTTGAAGAGGGCCAGTGGTTAGTGAGCATCAGATAGTTAGTCCAAGTAAAAGAGTCGATACTTGGTGTTTTGTCTTCATCTATTCAACTTTGTATACATAATTTCTCAAACAATTATAACGCAACAATCACGTACAGATGTTATAGCTACTATAAGACAATGAGACAAATCTACTCTGCGACGAAGTGTGACATGATATAGAATTGTGAAATTCAAAGGGTGGAGAGTGTACATCGAATAAGTGATTCACTGACTCAAATTAGACTATTTTTAGGCCAATACACTACAGGCTCAAGTAAAAGAAGATATGCTCATTCAACGTAGAAGATCTGAAGAGGTCAGTCCTCTTTGACTACTAAATATATGCGTGGTGAATAATATTCAGATTAGGTGTAGTGTTCTGCAACGATAGACAGGGCTAGAACATGTGTGCCGCACGTCAAATGCATCACTTTCCTCGGTGAGCTGACCCTTAGCTGATATAAGATTAGGCTAGAAAGGAATTAGCAATGGTCAAATCGAAATTAGGCACCAATCCATGAAGTATTTGATTGTTGGTTTAAGCCAAGTAGGTAGGTGTAGACTGCCTGGTTTGGGTTCTCAAGATCTTATAATTATCGGTGAAATGACTACAATTTGTTCTCAATGGTGCAGATACAGTCACTCTTTGGAGTAATCTCCCGACTTCGCCTGCTGCACGTCTGTGCAAAGCTCTATGTTGACTCTCAGCCAGTCAGTCAGCCTAGATTTGGTCTCTGTCCCAACCGTGGGTACACAGTGTTGATGAGTCCCAAACTAGGATGAAACAACTGATGAATTTTATCTAGGAGTCATTGGGCTCCACAGAAATTTCAACATATGCCCAGTTAAAACTGTGAGTATCAGATTTTCTTTGAGAATAATTTTTCCTCCTCTTTCAGATGTGTCTCTCTGCGCTGCTTATCATTCAGCATGAATAGGCAATACCTTGTTGCGGCTAGTCATACAGAAACTGTTCGTGTCTTCAAGCTTGAAATTCGTTCGTAAGCTGTTATATATATATATATATATATATACATATATACATATATATGCCCAAACCAAATGTCCAGCTGTAGTCGTCTAATGTTGTTTTCTCACCAGTGTATAGCCGGGCGACGTTGTGCCACTGAACTCCGCTGATTCAGAGCCTACTCTGTCCCTTTAATATAACTTTGCCGTTGTGATTTATTCTGATTCGTCTTAATTATTATTATTGGAACATAGGGCTTCAATTGCACGTCTCCACTTGCTTCTGTCTTCTGCTCTACTTTTCACCTGCATCCATGTTAGTCCATACTGTGTCAACTACTCTTCACACGATCTCCTCCATGTCACCCTTGGACGTCTCACTCGCCGCTTCACTTTCGGGTTCATCCCGGGGGCCTGACGCGCAGTGTCACCCAGCGGCCTCCTCAGCGAGTGTCCAATCCATCTTCACTTTCTCCTGCATATTTGTTGGGTGATTGGTTCTTGTTTTGTTTGTTCCCATAGTTTCTTGTTTGTGATTCTTTCCGGCCATCTGATCTTCAGTGTATAGAGCGAAGACAGTTGTTGATGAAGGTCTGCAACCTGTTGGAAATATTCTTTGTGACCCGCCAAGTTTCTGATCCGTATGGAAGAAGTGACTGACTTGACGTTTGTATTGAAAATCCGAATCATTTTGTTGTTGATGCTGAGTGACGAAGATTTCCAGATTGGTTTCAGGTTGATGAATGTGTTTCTCGCCTTCCCGACTCTCGATTTGACATCCTCGTTCGTTCCTCCTGTAGTTGAGACAATGCTCCCTAGATAAGTGAATGAAGTAACCTCTTTCAAATCCCTCCCGTTGATGGTGATTGGCGCTGGATGTTGCTGCTGTTGTTGTTGTTGGTCGGTTGGTTATTTTCATAACTTTCGTCTTGTCTATGTTCACCTGGAGTCCTGTCTTCTCTGGCTGCTTCTTCAACCAGTTTGTCGGTTTTCGCCATGCTTTGTTCGATGATGATGCGTAGAGTTGCAATTTGGTCAGAACATGATTTGCCTTTCCTGAATCCAGCGTGTTCTTGTCGGAATTCTGCATCTAGTGCCTCCTTTATTCTCTCCAGGATGATGCGACTCTACAATAATTAGTTCAAATCAGTTGTCAAATATTTCATTCATAGAATTATGCCACAGTATTTTGGTATGATGACTAGGCAATGATTGTGTTGCATAGTCAGTCATAGAAAAATGTAACTTTCTGATAACACTGCACAATGGTGTGTATTGCACGGCAGAGATTGTGTCTCGCTGATTTAGTCAGTCAGCATTGTCATTCACTCCTGGATTCCAGTGTCACTGCACCTACTTCACGTTTAGGCAGCTGGGTAGTCTTATCAGTTCATATACGATGTGACACCGACCCCTAGATTAGAAATAGAAAGTGAAGTGATAGAGCACGTTGACCGCTTCACTTACTTGGGAAGTACCATCAGTCAGTGCCAACGGGTTGATCTCTCACGAAATCTCAGCACGCATACAGAGGGCTAGTTTCGCATATGCCAGTTTACGCCGTCTCTGGTGTAGACGTGAAATCCGACTATCGACCAAAGGGTGTGTGTACTGCTCAACAGTCTGCTCTGTCCTCCTTTATGGCTGTGAGACCTGGCCATTGAGAGCGGAAGACATGAAAAGACTAGCTGTCTTTGATCATAGGTGTCTGCGTTCTATCTCCCGCGTGAAGTGGTATAATAAGGTGAGCAATATTGAGGTTAGGCATGGGTCGAGTGCTAGGTAAGGAGGGGAAATCAATCGACGAGGTTGTAAAATTACATCGACTGAGATGGTTAGGACATGTGCTACGTATGCCTAGTCATCGCCTTCCTCGACAATGGGCAATGTTAGCTGATATAGGGTCAGGTTGGAAAAAAGCTAGCGGCGGTCAAATGAAAACATGGCACCAGTCAATGAAATCCACAACAGTCAGTCTAAGCCACGTAGGAAGGTGCAGACTTCCTGGTTGAGGTTTTTGGGAAGGTAAAAACCAATGGTTGGAAACAATTGGTGACATGGCTCAAACTCATCGTTCTCAATGGCTGGTGCAGATGCATCCACTCCTTGTGACTTATCATTTCCAATGAAACTGTTTTGTTCTTCGTTATTACTATGCCTTTGTCTCACACCTCTGTTTACTGTCTATATTATGCATTTCTTCTACTTTCTTCTCTTGCTTTGTGTGCTACATGAAGGGAGTGTGGCGACTTGAACTGCCGCACATATGTGCAAAGTTCTATGTCAAAAACAGACAGACAGTGTGACTTATATGCTAGTGTGCAGAAACAAGTAGCTAGGGCGGAATTTTAATGGTCCCCTAGAGATAGCTGACATCTGGATGTGGTGGCCGGTATTGCATTTCGGAATGGTCTAACGAACCATGCTGGCTGGAACTAACGTGCCTACAGGTCCTACCATTCCAGAAAAGTCGTTTGGATAGCAGTATGGGTAAAATTTGTTTTGATAAAGTCTCACAGTGCTATACAGTAAGTAATATTTACTGATGACCATGTTTCGAGCACAATTTATTGCCACTCATACTCATATCAAGGCACTACTGACACAACTTTCTAACTTCGTTTACATATCGTTTATATCTTCTCGGAGAAGATAAGTAATTTAGAAAAAAGCTCAGCACTACATTGCACTGCATGCATTAACACACAACCACACAATGGAGTGGGTGGGAGAGGGTTAAAATTCTAAAAAGTAATCGAGGTAGGTGGAGAGAGAGGTTGATTATTGAATCCTGGTTAATCGAGTCTACAGCCAACACATGCAACAGGAATGACTCATCGCTCATACCGGAAATATGGAAAATGCTACTACCAATCAAATCAAGCGATGGGAAATAATGGAATTATATATAACACGCTGTGGGACTTTATCAAAACAAATTTTACCCATAATGGAATTATACTCTAACAACACAGTGCACAAGTTTTATTCTTATATCAACGTTTGGATAGCAGTTAGACTGAAAACGGTTACCACTATAGTGTAAGTTATTTACGCTATGTTGGGGGATCTGTAGGTGAAATTTTACTGCTAGCGAATAGGGAAGCGACAGCAGCAATGTGTTCCCCTCAGATCACCAGTATGCCAGATACGTTCCCTCTCCACTCCGGAAAGTGGGGCTTAGAAAAGATCGACCTGGAAATGTGAACATTTTTGATTTAGACTTTTGATTATAGCTTGAAACCATACAGTATGTATTTTCGGTACAAGTATGGAATTTTCAGCATATGATATCGGTAGCCCAAATTATGTAGGCCAACCATATATATCAGGTGTGCGTCGGCAGGGGATCGAACCCCGGACCATGTGCATGGTCGGCGAGAGTCCCAACTTATCTTGCGGCGGTCCGTAGCCCGCGGTAGGCTTTTCATACGAACACAACTCCAGAAGACACTTCAAACAGGAAGTGTGTGACCGACATTAAACCGTTGTCCTTCGAGTTCTGGAGTCATCCAACACCAATGTTCCTTCTGTTTTGAGTATCCCAGAGAATAAATCAAAGTTCATAGTGTGGACAGTCGTGAAGTAATAACCGCCCACAGAATCCCACTTCCCCCCGCCCTTCCTGGCACTTCAAAATACATAAATCTACCAAGTTTGCTTAGTCAGAAACTAGTAATCAAAGAATTTAAACAGTTCTGTAAGTTAAGCGAGGAACTGATATGGAAGGAATACCTTTCAAAATAGGAAACTGACAAACAGACCATATGATGAATACAAAACTCACCTGATGATTCATTTTAACTGCCAAGATGGTTAAAGTATAACGATAATGACAAATTAGTGTATTTATTCTGGAATGTGCTACAAGCAGTCGGCGCATATCATTCTGTGAGACAAGAGTAACTAAACTGCGATTGAATAATCTGCCAACAATACACATTGGATCACCGGCTATTAGTGAATAAAATTTATAATAACCTGGAAACTCACTTGAAGAAAAGGTCTCAGTCACCTGATCGCCGACGGTTGAAAGAAGGCTATAACCTGTCTTCGTTCCAACTTGGATAGATCTATAATTAAGAGTAAAAACATAGAAATACTAATGGACAGGATTTCATTATTATTAAAAAAACATTATGGGCGTCAGGAGACGCATAACACAAACTGTTGTCACAGAGTTTGTGAAAGTGCTGGGATACTCCCCAAACGCCCGAACCACCCAGGCATTTGATGTGAATTCTGATCCATAAGGAAGTGGAACAGCGTCAGCAGTTAAGTGGTTCCCAAGGTTTCCAGTGACCAAAACAGGTTCTTTTATTCAACAGCTGTACGACAACGGCACATGTCAAGTGACCCACAACGGAAAACTCAGCGAGGCGTTTGGAGTAAACACAGGAGTCAGACAAGGGTGCTTATTATTACCAATGATATTTCTAATTGTGGTGGCCTGGATTATGCATCAGACAGTGGGAAACGAGAAGACAGGGATATCCTGAACCAACGTGAAGAACCTAGTAGAACTGGATTTCGCGGATGACTTATGTTTGATGTCACACAAAATCGAAGACTTACAAGCAAAAACCGACAAACTGGTCGAAGAAACAGAAAACACAGGACTCCAGGTGAACATAGACAAGACGGAGGTTATGAAAATAACCAACCAACAACAACAGCAGCAGCAACATCCAGCGCCAATCACCATTAACGGGAGGTATTTGAAAGAGATTTCTTCATTCACTTATCTAGGGAGCATTGTCTCAACTACAGGAGGAACGGACGAGGATGTCAAATCGAGAATCGGGAAGGCGAGAAACACATTCATCAACCTGAAACAAATCTGGAAATCTTCGTCACTCTGCATCAACAACAAAATGATCGGATTTTCAATACAAACGTCAAGTCAGTTCTTCTACACGGATCAGAAACTTGGCGGGTCACAAAGAATATTTCCAACAGCCTGTTGCAGACCTTTATCAACAGCTGTCTTCGTTCTGTACTCAAGATCAGATGGCCGGAAAGAATCACAAACAAGAAACTATGGGAACAAACAAAACAAGAACCAATCGCCCAACAAAAATGCAGGAGAAAGTGGAAATGGATTGGACACTCGCTGAGGAGGCCGCTGGGTGACATCGCGAGTCAGGCCAGTGCTCGAGTGGAACCCGAAAGGGAAGCGGCGAGTGGGACGTCCAAGGGTGACATGGAGGAGATCGTGTGAAGAGGAGTTGAAACAGTATGGACTAACACGGATGCAGGTGAAAAGTACAGGAGAAGACAGAAGCAAGTGGAGACGTGCAGTTGAAGCCCTATGTTCCACTAGGAACCCAAGGGAACAATAATAATAATAATAAAACAGGTTCTTTCGGACTCGGGAGTACAAGCACACAACAAGTTTCTAATCAGGATTTTTCAGCGCCCCTAGGTGAACCAGGATGTTCACTAGTCTGACTGTTACAGCTAAACGTTCGTATTATCTCTTTTACTCTATTAAGCGACACCCCTGAGGATTTACCTGCACACACCATTCTTCTACGACAGGAAGAATACATTTGATGCAGTATATACAGTGATGTGGTACTCATTACATTTCGTAACTCATAATTACAGCAAACTGACACTGTCACAGTGTGTAGGTTCTACTTAGTTCAATAGAAAATGAATGGGGACTCCCATCAAGACAACAAAGTAGACATGATTTAGAAAACACTAATGCACGAAAACTACTTAGTTGATTTGGAGCGAATAAACAGGTGGTTGGTCATCACCAAATTATCTAATTCAAGAAGATTTTGACAGGGACTCAGTATAATGAATTCTCAACTCCCATCTAGTACAGATAAGTTATCTTTGACAGTGTTTCACAGATGTACGTGAACTTTTAAACACTAGAACGAACTTATCATTTATTCTCATATTGAAGACTGAGTGTACCATCATTTCAGAATGAGGCCGCTTTTGTGACAGTCTGTAATTTATATGATAAGCTTACTTCGGGACTACAAAATGCATGGAATATTGAGTTCGTAAATGTACTAGTTACGTGTCCATGAAAGGTTTACTGACTTATACAAAACTCCGTACAAAAACATTTACGGTTGAGTATGGCATGCTGTGAGTGCATCGGTGGCATAGCCGTTAGAACGCTCGCCGACCACGCACATGGTCCCGGGTTCGATACCCGGCCGACGCACTCCTCTACCTCGCTAAGCCAGAAGTAATGCTGGTGAAGAGGAAAGGTTGGGCATGAGGCTAGCAACCCTATCCCGTAAAATAAACACTGCTACCGAAACTCCAATCCTCTAGCTTGAAGCCCTATGTTCTACTAGGGACCATGAAGGAAAAAAATGGCATGCTGTAGCCTCCCAGCAGTGTTAGGAAGAGTTATGTACCTCTCCAACTCCGCTATCAACGACATTCTACAGGTAAGTCCGTCGGATGTGATTACTACCTACAAGTGTAACAGGCATCAAAGTGCAGAGTACTTTTGTTTGGATGACAATAATTTGAAACAGCACTGACCTCATCATGGAAACTTCTAGTCAAAAGACCGTGTTGGATAAGTAATGGTGTACATGAGATGAGATTTTCAATCGCATACTGAGCTAGTAAAATATGTCTGTCTGTGGCACTCCCACAACCAGTGTGATGTAAGGCTGTCCGTCAAGAGTTACGTTCCCAGTGCAATTTTAACCTACCTTCACGAAACCGTATCTTTCCAAGATGAGGATATTAAACTACTCTGCATGTTTAGCCACTTCTACTTCTGTCATGTTGCTTGCTTGTGATGGCGACACTGTGTGACTTGTGTGTTTTGAGATCATCCGTTAGTGAGTGAGCCCTTCTATGGAATATGGTGTCTAAACCAACGAACCACAGAGCCCTAATACGAAGAACAATGGCTCAATTAACACCTGTTAATTTACCAAGACCTTTTAGGATGGGCTGAGACAGACTGGATGGAAAACAAATACAACAATGAGTTTGTTTTTAATTCACCTCTCTTCAGAAACCAGTGCAGAGTCAAGCTTAGGTTACTACATCGGTGGAAAGTTTATGAATTACAGAAAAACTTCAGAAATATCTGGATGATTTAAACACTAAACGACACTAGTCCTACGAAGATAAGTCAGTAGTACAAAGACAGTATTCCAAAGGATACTTTATCCTACATCTTCCTCTAAGGAAGTGTTATTTACAGCCGGTGATTGTATTGGCTTGTTCTATCGGTCAAGATGTTTAGGTACTTTTTAATCTTATCTGTGAGTGACAGACGGACTGCAGTATGCATAAATAGATGGACCGTGCAAGAAAAGTTTGCTCATTTGGGAGAGAAATTCAGTGTGTCCAAAATCTGCACTCATGATCAAAGAACAAAAGAGTAATCCAAAGCGAATAGCAGGGCTGCACACATCTAACCTGTATGTATAGGGCTACAAAGTAGTTTATGAGCTGATGTCATTATTTGGCTGAAGGCAATCAGAACGAAGCCACACCTCACCTAGGTTTCGTGCTTGTTAGCACTCACTAGTCATCAAGGCGTATCTTGAAGGAACTAGTAATCTCCCTTCTCAGATTCGAACCTGTGTCACCCAGTGCTAAAGCCAAAGACGTTATGATTGAGCTACTCGGGCTCACAATTGACCTCCTGTAGGAGTGTTTTATGAGTTTGGTTTCACAACTAAAGATGCTAGTCAACAAAAAGATTAACGACTATCTCAAGCGAGCAGATCCACCCATTTGCGTCACAAAAACCCAGCAGGTAGTGTACATTAGTAAAGATGAATGTGTGTGTAGCACCTTTTGAATATCATATGTTAGAACAAACAATACTACCGGATGACAATAATAGAAGTCTTTGCAGTGCTTTTGTGCCAACATCAAATACTGGGTTAAAGTAAGAGATTAAGTAGACTATAAAACTCCCAAACCCCTAAATTCCCCTTAAGACTCCCAAAAATTCAACACCCCGAAATTGCCCCAAATTTTTTTATTTGGGTACCAACACACGTACAAGCAACACTAGATCTTATTATTTCATATTATTTACCCGAAACGTAGTAATTATTTCTTCTGGAAAGGAATTATATTACCTAAGAATGACCAAACATATGACGCTGACAAAATGCTTACAAAATTCATATTATCTCAGTTGAAATTTTAAAAGTCTTATAGAGAGTTACGAGGACCTTTCACGATTTCAACGCAAATACTCAAGTCTCCGACGGGAGACATTGCTTAAACCTATGTATGGTAGGATTTATTTATATCTATTAACGTGAAGTGTTGAGTAACGCTCGAAGATTTTTACGGCAGTATTGAGGTACTTTCATACCAAAGAGATCCCACTTGCATTTATTTTGTATAAGATTACAGTAGCCAGAAATTTCAGCATAAAATACTCCTGTTTACCATTAAATGAATTTACACAACCTACTGTTTGGTGGATTGCCTATACTAAGGACAATGTATGGAAGATACCAGATTGCAGAAGAGTAACCGAGGGACTTACGTGTAATCTTGGTTAAAGTCAATGAACAGGATAGGAAGATTGTCATCATGGCGATTACAAGCGACATTCATACTCAACTACAACGTTTAGGAAGGTGATCAGCTGACTAGAGGCGAACCCGCCAAATATTCGAAGAGAACTACCTAAGCCGCAAGGTCATTCAATCTAGAAAACAGAGTTTATTAAGTGTATGCGAAAATTATTTAGTGCTAGATATTCGCACTATGAAAACAAATAAATTGTTGCTTTTCCTTTCCCAAACTTCTGTTTTGGATACTGGTCCCAGATATTCAATATTCAATGTCTTTGTTACTGTTTACTCCATATGATTAAGTTCCTGGAACTCACATCTATATCCCTAAAAGCGCTAGCATCCCTTAGGTTGACTATTGCTACAGATATGACCAACTCCATTAACAGTCCATTCTCACCATGTGATTTGTAGTATATCTCGGAGATGCTGGATGACTTTTTTTCTCATAAAAGAAAAGACTCTGTATATCACAGCATATAAATAGACATAAAGGAGGTTGAGCAGACAAAAACTTCGTAGCCTTCATAGAACAATAAAATATGCGGAACGAAGATAAATGAGTTTCTGAAGATGAAGGATGTCATAAAAGGTGAGGGATGTTGACAGGTACGGGAGATACTCTTGTGAGCAAGTGCAAGTGTACATCTTCCCTTCCCACAGCACTCATTCTAGTTCTGCTTAACCAGCTAGGATTCATATAAGAGCAGCCGCACTTAACACGAAAGCAAGCCAGTTGGTGTAGAGGCTCGACTGCGTACCTTCAGCTTAACCAATTGAGCAAAACGGCAATTGTCGGCACTTAGTGTTAATGACGGATGCTGCAGGCTGATAACTTTGAGGACTTATTTGCCAATATGCACTCTTAGGATTGACAGTGTCTAGACACAGGGTAACATTCCCGTAAAATAGGGACGCCAGAGCCTCCAGGGAGTCAGTGGTAAAATAGTCATCCCACCGAGAGTCGAATGAGTTCTTGGACTAATCCCCAGTCTGTATGTTTGTAACTACGGTATATCATGCTCCCTGAATCTTGTTTTTTCCTGTATTTAGTGGCGAGAAAGGCAGAGAGCAGAGTACCATTCTGTGGTCACTGCCGGAAAATCTGTTACCAACATAGGTGGAGACTGGGATTGTGTCATGACAAAACACAAGGCCCAGCATGTTGTAACCAAATAGGGGTATAAAACTTGGGCACTGTGGTAGAGCATAACTCCATTATGGATAAGATTTTATTTTGATAAATCACACAGTGTTGTACAGTAGTATTATTATTACTATTATTATATTATCATATTATTATTACAGTAATATATATATCATATATTATCAGTTAATATTACTGTACAACACTGTGTGATTTATCAAAATAAAATCGTATCCATAATGGATTTAGCTGATAATCCATCACTTTCATGGGTTGAGCACAGTGCTCAATTAACACAGCCTATGAGAAGTTTGTATATATCTCTATGTGAGACATTCCAGAGTACCCGTGGCAGTGGCTTAGTAAACGAGAGGTCGATGAAACATAACGTCGTTACAACATCAAGAAGTTCGTGGTTTGAAGCACAAATTCCGACAGCCGGGAGTAAGCAATGATTAATTCATTATTCGCACTTCTTGCCAGTAGATATACGCGCATAGTGTGCATGAACTGTAATCTGGACAGACCTTCGGAGCAGAAACATAAAACAGTCTCAGGACGTTATGGGCTTGTGCTGGCGAGACAGCGTCCATAAAGCGCTGCTGACTGATGTCTGATAATAATAATAATGTATTTCATATAAATTTACAAATTTACATGAAAACGCATGCCATTTTTACAGGCACGATCAAGTATGATATAATATCAAATCGTAGATTGTCTACAAGTTAATCGTATTTCAACTGTTAAATATTCGATACATATAATACACTCATTTTCTGAATTAGGCCGTATAGTTATTGAATTGTACAGTTGTCCTCCAGGTTGAGCGGGAAAATCGACTTCGTTCCGTTTTCATCCCGTGGTTGTAGGCATACGATAACCAACCAATATTGAGGTAAGTACACCTTTTACAAAGGATTGGAATCTGTTTTAGAAAAATTAAAGTGCTGAGGTGAATCATTAGATTGTAATGAAATAGGTAAGTGCAAGTATCAATAATAAATGCATTAATAAAGGAAACACCCTAGGGTAACAACATTCATTTGCAATGTATAATGCTACAGATATATCACAAACTATCATGATACCCACTTTTGGTTTTAATACAATTATCCTCATGCCAGTTGTTTTTATTTTATACCTTTTTGTGCATTTAGTGCACAACCGTACCCTACAGAGAGTGGTGATGAGCATACTCTTGACAAAGAATTAGTTTGTAGATATTGACCATTCGGTGGCAGTAGAGGATGTACAAACTATGAAGCCGACGACTTCAATCCGGAATAGAAATTTCGATAAGAAAGACTAGCAATAAATTAATCTGACGAATTGCAGTATCACATTAATTCTTAAAATGTTAGATAAACAGCCTTAATCTGTTCTGTGTAGACGTACTGCACATTTCTGGTGTCTTCATTATGTCAAGGTTCAGAGTAGCGATTCGATAACAGGCGTCAAAGCCCTAGCCTAACTGAAGTCTAGACTAACCAGCAAAAACAAAGGCAGCCGATGGGATCCCCTTGACAAAGCTCTGGAAGATAGGCTAATCAAAACGGCATTCGCAATCGATCACTTAACTGGTTGAAGGCATTTCTAACCGACCGGGTACAAATAACTAAAGTTGAATCCGTGTTATCTCATCCTAGACAGATCACAAGTGGGGTTGTGCAGAGTATTGTCCCAGGACCACTACATTTACAGTCTACATTGACATCATTTGTAACTACTTCGGTTCAGGTGAACTACCCCTATATGTTGACAACCCCAACGTCGTCTACTCCTGCTACAGTCATGAAACGAACGATATGGTCAGCAAAATATGTCTTGAACTAAGTAGACTCGTATCATGGTGTGCTGAGCTCTGTCTTAAGTTTGACATTGATAAGTGCGAGCGACTTTATTGCATATCCCCTCAATGACGTTTGTCTGTATGTTGCTATTGGTTTCAAGTGGCCTTGGTTTCGGGGCGAGATTTAACTGATATAATATTGTGATTTCATAGACATATCTCAGGCTCATACGTGAAAGAAAGTTATTATCCTGTAATAAGGAAAAGTTGTTCAGAAGGTAAGGAGGACGTTATTTTTCAGTTTATTTGTGTATATACTATTGTGCAGCGAGTTGCATTGAGTTCTTAGTGCAACTGTATGTAACTGCATTTACATAAAGTGAAACATTAGGAATACTCCTGTTTCTAGAAGAAAAACATCATTATTATCATTAAGTTTAGTAATGAAGAATGGAATTTCTTCAACGTCAATGTTATTTAATTGAAGTTGTAATCTGTGTAAGCCCTCGGAGGAATAAATTCGGCATGGAGATCTCCTATGTAAACCGAAAGTGCTTTTAGTTTAGTAAATCTTACTGACTTCCTGTATAAATTAGATATTTGTCAAGTGCATATTTCAAATCTGCTGGAGTATTCAGTAAAGTAAAAGTTGTGGTGCATGATTCCAAGACTTGTTGTAGTCATTGGTATTGCCAGGATACCACTTACTCGTTTTATGCAGCCGAAATATACAAATCTCGCTTTATTGAGGAAACACTATAATGCCTGCAAAAGTATTGCGTCAGTTAATGAGTTTCATAAATTCTACAGAATGTTTTCTATTCAGTGATTGCTGTTTGCGAATTATCCGAGAAAACACATTTCCAATTGGGATGTAACACAAGGCTAAATTCTTAAACTCTCATCCTTATATCATTTCAATCCAATCACACATATATCAGTAGGATAGTCTATAAATGACTTTAGAAACTTATCATCATCAACTTACAGTTTGCTGATGATACTGTACACCTAGACTATGAGAAGTTACCCCTGATACTGGAAAATATGAAAAGAATACCGGTGTTTGATTATAGGTGTCTGTGTTCTATCTCATGATTAAAGCAGTATAATATGGCGATTGCTCTTCAGGTTACGCATAAAGTGTTAGGTGAGGAGGTTGAGAAGCTGAATAGGTTGAGATGGCTATAACACGTGATTGCAGACGAAGCCATCGCCTTCCTCGAGGGATAATGTTAGCCAGCACATGGTAAGGTTCAAAATGTGTTTGGGTCGGTCGAATGAAAAACTGCTATTGGTTCATAAAGTCGTTGACAGTCAGCTAGAAGAACTACTGGATATATGTCTGCAAGTCTTTGTTTATGGCACAGATGCATTCACTCTGCGTAATCTCACGTATCTATTCAACTCATGTTGTCACTATTTATTTTCCCTCAAATTTTCGCTCGTTAAACTTCCATTTAGTTTTATGTCTCTACCTTTGTGTGGTGCATGGAATGTGGTAAACTGAACAGTTGGACTTCTTTGCGAAGTCATACTGAAAGTCAGGGAGAATGACACAGGCTAGGCATAACTAAATGCGAAACACTGAATAATGTTCTCCAGAATGTCAACAAATGATAATTGCAGTTCTTAATCTTGTTCTTTGCTAAATTACTCGGAACCGAAAATGGTGCGAACTACTCCACTAGATGTAATACCCTAGGACTAGAAACACTATGGCTAAGACGCCTGAGACTAAACTTAACACTTTGTAGTGACCCGTTTTATTACTCATCATCGCAGTATACTTTCACTATGTAATTGTACTTTGATTTGTTTATTACTCTAAATCTTTCATGTTTACAATTGATACTTTTGTACTCGCTCGATTTTTGAATTTTGATTGCTGCAATAATACACTATCGTATTCCTTCGCAAGTGCCTTTTGAATTACGTTGCGGATGTCGAGTAATCGCAACGTTGGGACACAAATATAAACGCGAGGAAGTACTAGAATATACGTGTACTCTATTATTATTATTATTGTTCCCTTGGGTTCCTAGTGGAACATAGGGCTTCAACTGCACGTCTCCACTTGCTTCCGTCTTTTGCTGTTCTT